ACTGGCAAAAGCTGATGTCATGGAGGGTATTTGTTCCTATACATCAGACCCAGCACAAAGCAGTGTGCCAGCCTTTTTTTACTCATTAATATGATATAGCCCTGTCTGTTGAGTGAGTTGCTTGAATGCATAAAGGAAGCCTATAATTTTCACAAGGCAAGTTGTATGAGAACAGTCTGCAGGTGAAATAAAATGATGAATCTGGTGTGATCTTTTTTTTATTGTAAGCATGTATCTCTATCAGAGGAAGCTTAATCTGTCTTGTGAAAGTGATTTTGAAACCTGCCCTTCTTCCTGCCTTGCCTCCACCCTTTTAGCGTTGTTGCAGTTGAAAGGAAAAGGTGTTGGCCAATTCATCAACAGTTGTTTTCAGTGGGTTTTGCAAAAAATGTCCTCCTCAAGTACCATGTTCTACTAGATCAGGGGTCTGCATCCTTTTGGACCAAAAGAGCCATTTTGTCCCCTTTTCCACCAATGTTTTTTGTCTGGAGCCGAAAAACATATTTGATAGCTTGATAGCTTATAAAGTTGTATATATTGTTACATCGTAGACAAAAACTACAGTTTTTTTGCATTTATTATTTATTACATGATAGAAAACTGTGTACTTCTAATAATAAACAAAGACCTCTTATAAGGAGAATTTTAAAAAATACACAGGCCTACTTAAAAATAAATCAACACAGCACTTGGGGAGTCCTCTGCACATTTTAAGAAAATTAATATAATTAAAATGGGCCCACTTTGAAATAAATAAAACATATAGCTGCACCCTAAAAATATTTAACTGATTGAATTATGACTGAAGATCGTCAGCTCTTCCATGTTTTTCCTCCAATACGTAAAGGTTGCAGCACCTTTGGCAACTTCTCTCCACATATCAAACATACCGGTAAGCCAGCATCGTTTGCTGTGAAAGCATATAACTCTAACCACGCAGAATTAAACCCTCTGTGTTCCTCCGATACTTTTATTTTCTTTGATTTATCCATAGTTCGCTCATCGAGCCGGGGGTCAGGTTATTCAATTAAAACCGTGTTTAGGTGGTTAGGTCATTTTAACAAGCTATATGATTTCACTAGTACGACTTTTGCCCTGCATTCGATGCTCATGCCTCTGCAACCCTTAAAAACAGCAGTATCATACAGGATGCAACCTGGAAATATGTTTAAGTCACAGAAGTTAAACTTTGTTCACACCATGCACACACTGACGTTTATTTTTGTAGTCGGCCAAATAAACATAATTCATGTTGTTTTTGAGGAAGTTTCCACAGAGCTGGACATAGGAAGACCTCTTTTTTTTTTTATTAGTTGACCTTTATTCTTTGAAATATTGTGCAACTGTATTTTCTTACATTAAAATGTTCATACATCAGAGAAACATGAAAGCCGCTACGGGGTTGCACAAGGGAGCTGTTTAGGTCCATTACTCTTTTCTCTCTATATGTTACCGCTCGGCGACATCATCAGAGAGTATGGTATAGATTTCCACAGCTATGCGGATGATACACAATTGTACATATCCGCTGAACCAAATGATGTGACAGCCATAAACCCTAATACCAACTGCCTGACAGCAATAAACAAATGGATGAACGATAACTTTCTTAAATTGAATGAGGACAAAACTGAAGTCCTACTTGTTGGCCCCAAATCAAAAAGAGAGATGCTAACAAATAATCTAGGAAGTTTAACCACTTGGATTAAACCGGAGGTGACAAGTCTCGGTGTCATCCTGGACTCAGATTTGAACTTCAACGCCCATTTAAACAAAGTGACCAAAATAGCTTTCTTTCATCTCAGAAACATAGCAAAGGTACGACCATTCATAAATCAAAATGATGCAGAGAAGCTAATTCATGCTTTTATATCTAGCCGACTAGACTACTGCAATGCACTATTCACTGGTCTCCCCAAGAAAACTATTGAAAGACTCCAGCTCATTCAAAACTCTGCAGCTAGACTACTAACTAATACCAAAAGGAGGGAACACATTTGTCCTGTCTGAGCTACTCTGGTTTCCTGTAACTTTTAGAATTGATTTTAAGGTGCTTCTCCTCACATACAAAGCTCTAAACGGACAAGGACCCAGCTACATTGCTGACTCTCTAATAAACCCGCCAGAACACTGCGATCATCAGATGCAGGTCTATTAGAGGTCACCAGAAAGAGTCATAAGAAGATTGGTGATGCAGCCTTTGTAAACTACGCCCCAAAACTGTGGAACACGTTACCCAACAATATTAGGGAAGCCAATACGTTAGACATTTTTAAAAGGCTCTTTACCAAAGCATTTTACTGACTTTACACTATTATACACTATTTCTCTGTGATTGACATTGCACTATTTCTCTATGTTTTATTCCCCATGTTTTTATGTTTAATTATTTTATCCCACGTTATGCTTTGCTCTTGCTGCTTGTTTTACACTGATTTTATGTCTTATTTCTTACTGATGTAAAGCACTTTGAACTGCAATCCCCTGGATGAAAGGTGCTATACAAATAAAGTTATTATTATTATTATTATACTCGTAAAATTGTGAAATAATGATCACTTAAGCTTAAGGTTAAGATATTTCTTCCAGACCTACATTTTTTCTTATCAAAGAAAATGGAATAAATGCACAACAAAATACTAATCTGATGCTTTTCCTTTATGTGTTTTATTAACCTCTGAGGAGTCATATGGATTTTGCCTTATGTTCACCAGCCACTAGCCTCTTTGCATTAAGTCATTTTCTATTTATGACTTCCTGCTTCTCATATAGAGATGAATATGTGTATGATAGAAAGATATGCCTGACATGAAAGCTGCCAAATGGTGTAAAAAATCCACAATTGGTATGTAAATAATAGTTTAGTTAAAATTACATGATTTAAAAAAATAATAATGCTTTTTTGGCACACAAATAATATAATCTGCAAAGTGAAACAATGACCAATCACACATAATAATTACCCTGAGAAAAAACAAGCCAGAAATATATACGTTCCTCTAATAGTGATAGTAAATATAACCTCCAATCCCAAAACAATAATGATCATCCTCGCTCAAAATACAAAGTTTTAAAACAGTTTAATGTGTGTAATTCACTCACCACTGCTCTGTACTGCTCCAGGACAGCTGATGTGATTCCCGTTAGGGTCGACATCATCCACAGCAGAAGACCCAACTCCATTCCGGTCACTGCGAAAACACGCTCCATTATTATCAAAACAAGTTGGTGTAAACAGAGGACACATTTCTTCTCTATAACTGACCCAGTTTCATCCAAATCCAAACCATAACAAAAGCGTGTGGGCACTGAAGCAACACTCACCGTGTTTCTTCTCCTCAGTCTCTCCGGGGACTAGGCAGGGCGCATCGATTAGAAACTCTCTCAGCCGCGAGACGTTATCCGAGGCTCTCATATCCGCCCACCACGCGCATCATACAGATGTTTGGCGCGTGTTGCCTCAGGTACAGGTGAAAAGATGCGATCATCATGTACTTCTCCATCTGTAATACTTTTCAATGTCCAAATAAAAATACATTTTGACAGAATTTGGCCTGATTCCACTTGAACACTGCATTGTGTAACAAGCCCAGTTCCACTCATGTCAGATCATCATGCGTTTTTAAGCTTCTGTTATGAAAACTTGAATCTGAAATGTGTTACTGACTTCCCTGTTTTGAACATCTGTCTGATCTTTTTAGACCTTGGATTTAATTACTAGCCCTTTTTAATTGTTCTTTTTAGTTTTGGTCCAACACGACAGAACCGTGTTGAGACTATAGGAAACACAATGTTGGAACCCTGAAAAATACCAAAGGACCGACAAAGAAAGCAAGGTGAGGTACAGAACATGACATGATTCATATACCAATAATATCTGTTAAGATATGGCAAACAAATGTATGTCAATGGGATAAATGCAGAATCATTTTAACAAAAGAGGATTTGAGGATTTTTCAAAATACTAGATATAATTGTGCATGAAGAAGCTTAGGTCAGACAATATTAAAATGAAATCATATTAAATGTATATTTTGAAGATGTGAGGAAAAATAATAGGCCCAAATTAGCTTGTACCAAACGTTGGTGTTTGAATTCCATGTATAACTAACTTTAAATAAATAATAAATGAATAAATAAAATCATGTTTTGAAATATTTTTTGAAATAGTCATCGTTGCAAAATGTATATTTAATTGCATAAATATTTTTATTTTCGATGTATGAATAATGTGTGTACAACAATATCACTCCTCTTATGAAAACAATTGGTTTGGTATGAAGCATGCAAGACATTAATGTCGTTTTCATTTTCAACTATGTTTCCTGTGTTATACCACAGTAAGCACTTAAAATACATTTGGTGGAAATTCATGACGCTGCATTAGGCACCGGCATCTCATCTTGGACTCCCATTATGTTCATGCATACCAGTTCTCTCTGCAGAGCACCACTGGTATCATCTTTCTCTCCCCTCCCCCCTTCCTCTTCTCCCATCTTTAAATTCTGTCCATCCTCCAGGGCCCAAGTGAGCCATACCATTAGAACAAATGCTGCGCTGCTAATGGTTGACCAGCTGCCGCCACGTTCACTGCACGATTATACTTGACTCTTTAAAGGGATGTGAGTAATGTTTTAAGTGTTGGATAATCTCACTTCTCCACACTGACTCTCAGGTGTCCAGCATTTCTAAACCTATAAAAAGTACTTTTGTAAGCTTTAATTATAATGACTAATATTCTTTCTAATATCTTTATCCTGAACAAATAACATGTTAACCGAGTAATGACTGTTTTTGGCCACTTGTGGGCAGCAGAAACAAGTTGTATAAGCAACACTGACATACAATCTCCTTTTTCGATAAGTTATCAAATCCAAATTATTTGTCACATTATATTAAATGTACCTATTTATATACATGATTAATGGTGATGAGAAAGTAAGAAGCTCAAATGCCAAACATCACAATGTTTAAATCTTGAACCACACACGAGAAATAAGGACCTTTCATTACACACAGTTTTATTTTCATTAAAGGGATCCAAGGCCTTCACAAAAGGGTTGACTCTTGGTAGCTATACAGAACTAACACAACACACAACGACAACAGAAACAACACAGAGGACTTGTGTGAACGAGTGAAAAGACAAATAAATAAGAGTTAAAGTAGACATTTCATATGAGATTTAAACTGAGATGCATCAACAAAACCAATAGTCAGAGGAAAGTGAGCAGAGGTTAAAACTCTGCAATGTACAGTAACGCTTTTTTACAATACTCGATTTATTTCTGCAAGTAGCTGATTGTCTATAGCGGCTTATTTTTGGTCATGCACAGTTAACAATGTCATAGCGATTGTATTGACAGTGTTGCACATTAATATCACAGTTTTCATATTATTATTTTTTATCTCCTCTACCTCCAGCGTTGATTGTCAGTCTCTGCAGTGTTTGCATTTGGTGGTTTGAAGGCAGCCTCTTTGTGATTGCTTTGCAATGATGCTTGATTGTCACTGGCCAATGGATATGGGTCATAAGTGATGTACTAAAAAGTCCCTGCCACTTACGTACAAGTCACTGCTAAATACGTAATGGAATTGCTTGTTTCTTTTAGATACATCTGACGTAAAGTCCTAATATATATACTGTTTATATAAAACAAGAGAAAACCTAATTGCTACTGTATTTTTGGCAAAGTCATCTGTGACGCATATCCAGCCTTGTATCAGTCGATATTTGATCAAATAATGATGCTGTTTCTGTGCTTTTGAGGATGATTTGAGTCCAAGACATGCTACATTCCTCCCTCCAATAACATCTGACAATATTCCACAGTTATCTGTACAAAAATATGCAGTTTCAGTCTTAGTGTAATGTAGCTGGCAGGGTAGGCGGGATGTCTTTTTTTGTAATGTTTAAGTTTTAGTAAAAGTGATTGCCATAAGCAAGTCTAAAATCTTCACAGTAGCCTCACATAGCTTATGCTTAGGGAACAAGCTGCTCTCACAATGTCATTGAGCTGCTCAAAAAACAACAAACTGTGGTTACACTTCACAATACAGACATCTGCTGGCATTTACTTAGTATCATTGGATCACCTATTAGAAGCATTTCTGCGTGGTAGAGGTAAAACCATAACCCTTTCACTTGCTCAGTATGTAAGAGCAAAAACCCTTCTTTTTTTAGCTATATTTGGAGATATTTAAGTTTATCTTAATGGGCTGAGAGCTGGTAATGTTAGGTTGCCGACTACGGATAAAAGTGGTTTAAACGTAAGTAACAAAATAGTCAATTTTCAGAGCTTTCAACCTCAACTCACAGTCAGGGGCGCTGCCAGGGATTTTGGGCCCCATGAAAAGATATCACATTGGTTACTTTTTTTTCTCTTAATATTCTAAAATAGTTTGGGCCCCTGTCAGTCATGGGCCCTTAGAATAGTCCTCACTTTTCACCCCCCTGCTCACAGTATTAAGAGGACAGACTAGTTTTCAGTCGTATATCCTTTGGGGGAAATACAGTAATGCCTTTTTTTCTTATTTTTTTAGATCATGAAACTCCAATTTAAGCCAGAATATTCTACACAATAAAATATGTTAAAAAATATGTTATTCTCAACTATCAGGTAATAAAAAGCACTGTTGCACCTCCACAGACAGTGTAACCTCCACCCTTTTATAAACCTCATCCTAATCCTGGCTCTATTATAATCCAAACACACCTCAAACTGATCCTATTTCTAATCCTGATCACAGCCCTACCATCAATTTACTATCCAAACAACCTGATAATACTAAGCAGATACCAGAATGACCAGAGTACTGTCAAGTGCAACCAAAGCTGCTCTTGACTGAATTTGTAAACATATAATGCATTTCGGGCTCGGCAACTCATCATATATTTCAGTCCTGTGCGTCCTTATAACCCGTGTGTCCCCCATATTGTTTTCTTGACACTTTTTTTTGTTACATGCCCGTTTTTTCGATCGTTCTTCTTTCGTTTGCCGGCTGGCAGCGATTGTCTGTAGTTCACTGTAACCTGGCCCAGTACTGACCCAGGTTGTGACTCATGGTCTGCTGGTCGGCTCCTGGGACCTGGACCGGCACTGAAACGCCGGGCGATATGAGCCCTGGATGGAGAACAGAAGGAGATTTATATATTGTGAATTTCAGTAGGTGAGATATCAGAATCAGAATCAGAATACCCTTATTAGTCCCACAGAGGGGAAATGTACATTGTTACAGCAAAAAAAAGGGCCAAAGACAGCTTAAAGGTGGGGTAGGTAATTTTGGAGAAACCAGCTCGAGTGTGCTAGAATTTGAAAATACTTTACAGAGCCCCTCCGCCAACACACACGAACGCGCACATGACCAATGAGGGCACGAGATAAGTTTGTGCACAGATGGAAGACTGACAGGCAGGTCGGCCATCCAGTTATTTTAGCCGAGCCGGCTAAAATGATTGGTCGTGCTTTTTACAGTACTACGGCTTCCACAGATGATAACACAAATTTGTTATGGATTTTTTGTCAAAGCAGTTAAGATATTCATTGCTATCGGGATGTTAAGAGCATTGCATGGAATGTAACAAAAAGTGTATCTCGAGCCGGTTTCTCAAACCCCACCTTTAAGGTTACCTAAGAAGCATGCATAAAAAAGTATTACACATTTTACAAAATACACATCCTGTAACAGTTCTGAGGATTTAGCAGCCAGGTATATATTGCAGTTATTAACGGTGTATATATACAGTATATTGCACATATTGCACCTAGTTGGTTGGTATTCAACAACAAGGGGTGTTGTAGATATTATAGTTGTATAGATATATCCCTATGCACCTGTTAAATGAACCCATATCTTCCCCAGAAACACTCACCGGTGTTGGAGTTGGCTGAGGACGGAGTCTGCAGATGAGGGGAAGAATACGCAGAGGAGTCAAAGCTGCGTGGGGTAGAGGGGGACGGAGGCAACATGCAGGAATAAGAGGAGGCCGACTGGGGAGGAATAGACTGAGAGGGGGAGAGAAGGAAAGGAAATATGTAGGTTAGATATATAATAAAACAGCAAACTATATAATCTGAGAGAACCAATTTCTAAATGTGTAGAAAGGCAGTTTAAAGCATTGACTGCATTGTCTATGATTGACCACATGGAGGCGCTAGAGTGGTGTTGCATGGTAGGAGAATAGCAGCGGCTCATATTCTTTTTTTCTTTGAACTACGATGATTTTAAAATGATTTAACTCTTATGTTCTGCTCTTTGTTTCTACATCAATACGGTGTCATTTTAAACTATTTTATGTAATTGTGTATAGACCCAATTATACACATACCTATTCATTATAATAATAGGTATTCATCAAAAATTCAGAATTACTGAACAAGAGACTCACTAATTAGCCCGATCACTGGAAAATATGATTTAATGCACACATTTTAAGTCATATTTTCCGTCAAATGTATCAGTGTTTTTAATTAGTTTGACACCTGTGCATGACATTTTAAAAAAAAGGAAGTAGACTAGAGGGTCGAACATGTGTTTTAAAATGTATAATTAATGAGAAAGAAATATGTCTATAAGGCCATGCTTGTGGGATGATAAATACTGTGATGTTTGTCCCTGCTGGTAAAATATGTCCCAAGCTTTTTTTTCTTTCTGGTTTTCGAAATGTATTTTGCAATTGATGATCCCAAAACCCCAATATCTTTAGAGCCCACTGAGTTTTGGTCTATATCAAATACTGAAGCTTTAAAAAATAGCTTAAGGCTTTGAGATATCTATTTGATCAAATGAAATGGATAAAGAGAGTTTTACAAAGGCAATTTACCAACAGGAAGTCCTCTTATTTTCAATCTTAGAGAGTACTGGGAGAGGCTAACAATGCTATATTAATGTTACAACGACGGGAGCGCAGAATATTTGAGAGATTATGTTTGATTGTACAGCCACTTTTAAATCAATATTATATTGAAAATCACTGTATACTTCACATAGTTCAAGGTTTGCACGTTTAGGTAATGTTGTACTATTATCAAAATAATAACAAGATATTTTTTTTAAATAAGTAAAAATGATGGTATCATTTACATTTGAAGTGGTCGTTAGTAAGTAAGTAATATTTATGAGTTACGTTTTAATGCCATTATTGTATTATATATTGTATTGTATAAAGGAGTTCATAATGGGGGTCTGCTCTGTGACGATGCCCTGCTTTCGTAAAGTTTGTAAGGCGCTGATGATGAATGATGAATGATGAATGATGAAATGTCCAACCTGGACTCCAGATGAGAAAACTGACAAGGAGCTGTAGCTTGGCAGGGACGACTCAGCCTGACTCAACATGGACCCTGGAGAGAGACACACACAGCGAGATGGTGAACACACACACACACACACACACACACACACACACACACACACACACACACACACACACACACACACACACACACACACACACACACACACACACACACACACACACACACACACACACACACACACACACACACACACACACACACACACACACACACTACACACACACACACACACACACACACACACACACACACACACACACACACACACACACACACACACACAACACACACACACACACACACACACACACACACACACACACACACACACACACACCACACACACGCACACACGAGCATGTGACGGGAACATCTTGCAGTGGAAATATAGATGCGCTCTAATGGAGAAACTCTAATGGTTTGCCTGCCTGCAAATGTCACTCTGATGTTTGTTATTAAGTCACACAGAGCAAATGTGAAGTCTTGTTTTGAATGTAACTGATAACTGTAATTATGACTAGAAATAGAGGGTGGTCTTGCAGGTGTTTACCTGAGCTGCTGCCGTGCTGCTGATGATGATAGACGGACGTGTTGAAGGAAGTGGTCAGAGGGGCTTGGCTCTGTGAACAGGAAGTCACACCCCCTGACCTCCTTTGATTGCGGAGCTTCTCCTCCCTCCTCCACTTGGCTCTTCGGTTTGAGAACCACACCTGTGAATCAAAGAGGTTTCTTAATCGTGATAATCTACATGTATTAACAGGTTGTAATTCCGAGGAATAAAAATCCACTCTCACCTGTATCCTAGCCTCGGGTAGATCAATCTTGTTTGCCAATCTCTCCCTCGCAAAGACATCTGGGTAATGTGTCCTTTCAAACTCTGTGGAAGATATTAACTAATGTCAAGCACACAGTGTGAATCCTAATGGAAGATGACAGGATAACTGTGGAGCATCTCGCCGTTCAGTGTTAACATGTTTTTTAAATTCATATGTTGATTTTAAAAGAAAGCACCAGCCTTCAAAGATTTACATTTTTTAATCAGCTATTATTTACTAGATTTCCGCCACATAACACATAAAGAAATGACTGCTTAAGGTCAGTGTCGCTAATTATCTTGTCGTGGAATATACAAATCCAGGAAGCTAAGATGTATCCTTACAACCATATTTGAAATATTTATCTGTTGCACTTTGTATAAATTATTTATCCTTATGCAACACGCAGAAAGTTCAAATGAAGGATCCAAGTTGAGAAGCTGCCTAAGCACTTTATTTCAAAGTAGGTTGACTAAAATTAGGCTCAAGATCTGTATGCATTATCATTTTGTTATAATTTACTCTCTAAATGTGGTGTTGTTTCTCATCAGAAGAAGCATTGTGTGTTATTATCTTGTATTCTGAGTAACCGAATAAAACAGACAAAGGGGCTTTAGGAGAGTCAATTCCTGACTCAGTTGTTGTTTAAACAACAAGAGTTTGTATCATTGAGACTTTCTGTATCAGAGGATCATTTCTCAATGTGGCAGTTCATTTAAAGTTGACAAACTGCTGACATTTTTGCTGTTGACAAGTCGAGACGAGAATATGCCTCACCCTCCAACTGACAGTCTGAGTCACCCTAATCAACTGTGAAGCTTCAGGTCTGCTAATGGAGACGTCTTTAGAGATCTTACTGTCTGCACTTGTGATGCTTAACATTAGCTAAGCATGTAGAATAAATGCCAACGGAGAAAACAAATCAGATTGGTTAAATCTGAAAAAGGCACTTTAAAAAAAAATGTATTGCTAAAACTATAATTTACACAAATATTGTAATTAAAGGTGGGGTAGGTACGTTTGAGAAACCGGCTCGAGGTACACTTTTTGTTATATTCCATGGAATGCTCTTAACATCCCGATAACAATGAATATCTTAAGTGCTTTGGCCCGGCTAAAATAACTGGATGGCCTACCTGCCTGTCAGCCTTCCATATGTGCACAAACTTATCTCGTGCCCTCATTGGTCATGTGCGCGTTCGTGTGTGTTGGAGGAGGGGCTCTGTAAGGAAGTGGCAGATTTTTTCCGGCTGTGTATTTTCAAATTCTAGCGCACTCGAGCTGGTTTCTCCAAAATTACCTACCCCACCTTTAAAGGGTTTATACAGCTTAAGGCAAGTTAGATTTAAGACTTATTCAAAGCCACTTAGAGTAAATTTCAGACCTACAAATACAAAAATAAAAATAAATGACTTGGGGTCAGGTTAGTATTCAACTAATTATTTAGGGATTTTTAAAATGTCAGAAATAATATTCATAAAATCCAACTTCATTGTTTTAGGATTTTTAAAAGTCTTAAAATACTCATGTATGACCAATTAAGGCCTTATTTTCAGATCAATTAAGTCAAAGCCTTTTAAGACTTAAGAAAGATCCGCGGTAACCCTGAAATAATCCAGACTAAAGCTCACACCAGTAACACATGGTTAATAAATCCATATCGCACATAGATTACAACAATTGCTCCATAAATTAAATCCGTCTCACAAATTGTTCTAATTGGCTCGGTTATAATTGGCGTCTGTGTCAACACATCATTGTTATTGTGCCTTGGCCGTGCGCTGAGGTCAGAGTACCTCATTAATGTCATTTGCACAGAGTGACCACAGAGATACACTTCCGCTCGGCTGCACAGTGGACATTGCGTCCTGATTTAGCTCAAGGGCCCGCTGAAGCCATATCCAGTCAAGGGTGGCTTTCTGATCCCTCTCAATGAATATCTGGCTACGAGGGCCGGATCTCGCTGCATAATACAACCAAAGTAATGATGCATTATAAAAAGAACTCTGCTATAGACACTGCCGTAGGCTTTTTTGGAGCTTTGTGGAAGATTATGGATGTGATCATGGGTGGCATTGTTTGCTGCCAAAGGGACTGATGAAAATCATGTCCTACCAAAATATTAACTTGTAATTTCTCCCTGTCAGTTAGCAACAAAGCTGTAAACAAGGTGTACAAACAATAATCATATAACAAAGGTGTTGGCAGGGGGTAAAAGCAGCAGGACAAGCTGCGTCATGACAACACTCATGACCACGGAGGTCAGCGATTGGCTGGAAAGCAGCAAGTGAGCTGTGCGTGCTTGCATGGCCTGACCTTTCTCCAGAGCCTCGATCTGCTCCTGAGTGAAGCTGGTCCTGTTCCTCTGCAGCTTCCTCTTGAGCTGCAGCCTCAGCTGAGACTCCTCGCCCTCGTCCCTCTCCACGGGGACTCCTCCCCCTCGGCCCGTGCCCCCTCCTACCCCCGCCTCCCGCCCCAGGCTGCCCTCTGTGTCCAGCAGACAGCCCTCAGATACTGCCAGAAAGGAAAGTGACAAAAAGGGATGTGGGAGTGTCAAGAAAATTCCTACTTTTTTTAGTATAACAGAGTGTTTTGAAGCATGCGTTGAACAGGAAGAGGATGAAACAGCCACAAGTGACCACTGCTTTAAATTTGGTTTAAATTGTACGACAATGAACTGATGATCTGTGAGCAGTGACATGTTTAAGATCTCTTCTCACCTGTGCTGTGTTGCGTCTGAACGCCGGTGGGGTCATGGTACCAGTTGTTAGGCCCACTCCAGTTTGAGCCGCTCTGCAGGTTCAGCATGGTTAACTTCTCATACATACTACGAGTGTCCAAACCACCATGAAGAGAAAATAACTGAGTCCTGTCCTGTGCGTGTCCGCCCCTGTTTACTGTCACCTTTGGCTCCTCTCTCCCTCCTTCGGTACTCCAATTCTTCCGCCTGAAGAAGGAGGGGGGAGTTACGAAGAGAAGAAGAAGAAGAAGAAGAAGAAGGAGGGGTTCATATCGCATGAGTTCACACATGGTCGGCATTGTGGCGAATTAGCCTCATGATGACAGACAGAAATGGAGTTGGTTACATGCACGCTGTCGTTACGTGTGTGTGTTATACATTGGTATGCTAGTATACCATGGGGAGCAAAGGTACATTTGAACCCACTCTAAAAAGCCCTGACATTTATTATGCTACTTGCTTTTAGCTCTATCTTTGCTGGTAAGCACGAGCTTTCATGCACACACGTATGCATGAAAAGACACTGCATTTGCATGTAGCCAAAAACTAGCATTTACACAGACAGCGGCTCCATGAACAAGATCTCCTCCGAAATACTCGAACCAAGCCCATGTTTAACTTTCAGTATAAGACATCAAGGTTCAAGTACGTCCATTGGCATCTTTACCTTCTCAAATAAATATATCTCTGAGTCCGCGATGAATAAAAATCCTCTCTCTGCTTATAATCTCATCTAATTTTCCCTTTTTTGTTCGGAAAATCCATTTTAGAGAGGAATGCAAAGACTTGTCAATACTGGGTAAATCTCAGAAACTACTGCAGCAGCACAATGTCAAAGGTCAAACTTCTTTCAATTGGGTGAAGCAGCCCCGAATGTAATCATCCGTTTGTCAATTAAAACCTAGAAATTCTGCTTGAACGGCAAAGTAACTTGTCGTCCATTCCTAAGCCTCTAACATAGTCCACATTAAATTGAGATCGGCGCCGAACGACACCGCATGAAAACAGCGGAAAGACTCTACATTTTTGCAAACTTACCAAATGTCCAGGTGAAATGACGCGCCGGGTCTTACCAAGTGTTACTTTCCTCCTCTGTGGACCTTTACTCCCCTGTACCCCCTACGTCCCTTGTTCTCCAGATTTGTTGACAATAACTCTGTGTGTGTGTGTGTGTGTGTGTGTGTGTGTGTGTAAAGGAGAGAGTAGGATAGAGATGGAGAGAGTTAGACAGGGTGAGAGAGAGTGAAAGAGCGAGAGGGGGGGGGCTCTGGAGAGAAATGCGTCTGCGGGCACTCTTGTCCTCCAAGCGATGGAGAGAGAGAGAGAGGGAGAGAGAAAGAGGGAGAGAGAGAGGGAGCCACCGAGGGGTGACAAAGTGAGTCAACATCAGTGTCAAGTTTGAACTTAATGCCAGCGAGAGGAGGAGGGGAGGCCGAGAGAGTGGAGCATAAAGCACAGATAATGGAGAGATAGTGGGTGATAAATAGATGATGGAATTCAATTTTAACCATAAATTGCACATAAATAGAGGGTATAATAGGCAGTCAAATGCACACGTTTTCACACAAACACATGTGCAACCAGACCAGTAACATAATAACAATAAGCTCAATGTTCACACTTGAGGACTAATTTTATTGATCCTAATTTGTTTTAACTTTAATAAAGCTTCGACGTGTCCACATGCATCTACTACTGTGTTTTATTGCAGTGTATTGGCACGGCACACGGAAGCATACATTTATATATTCAAGGCAAAAATAAAAGATGAACAGGTATCAATATAATCATTAGGAGATGATATAAGACTTACAAATACACATTTTCATATCTGTTTAGGCTGCTAAAGTAACGAAAAGTTTCATATGTTTAGAGAGATGTTTTCAAAATGATATGTGCCAATGCTACGCAAATTATACATCATTTTTATTGATTTTGCTATCAGCCTAGGCTTCTGTTATGTCCAACTAAAATGAAGAAGTGTTTGCATTGTAAGTCATTTGTGTTAAAAAAAATATAGGTTCTCTATGAATTAGAAATATATGGCCAGACATTATATAATTAAATAATGCTTTATATTATTTATGTTCCAGTCTATACATTTATCTTAAGGAAAAGATCATGTTACAAGCTGCTGATTTATTTCTTCAGTTTGGTTAACTAAACTATAAAGTATTGAACATTTGACACACTCTTCCTCAAATTGCCCTTATTGGCGATCAGTAGAAAGCCTAAAGAAACTTTATTTAATATAATGATTTTTTTAAATGCAGTTTAAGATTTTAAAGGTTGTTAATGTTTGATAATCTCTGTATGAAAAGTTGTTAAAACGATGAATTGATTATTGATAGAATTGCATGTTATGTCCTGTGGATCAACTAGTCGATCGAGACTAATTTGATAGTGTCGGAGCTTATCTTCTTAATCATGTATTTGATATAATGCTCATATGGACTGAGTTACTTAATCCTATAGCGAAAGTTGTTTAGGCCTACAGTGCTGCAGAGATGCTACAGATCAAGTTCCCACAGTATATTTTATAACAAAGGGGCTAAAAGATGTGAGCACCTGGGTATTGTTCCCTGACTACAGAGGCATTGTCCTGCTGCTACAGTCCAGTGAGCTCAAAGCTACGGGACAATAAACAAAGGCATTGTCTGGCCCCAGAGCGAGTTAAAGGAGCACCTCACAGAAACCCTCGGCGATAGACACACAAGGTCTGATGTGAGGCGTGAGTAATGATGCAGGTATGACGGTATGTATGGCCGAGTCAAAGAGCGAGAGCCGAGCAGAACTGGGGTTTACATGTGTCTCTTTGCAGCAGAGGGGAGAGGAGGAAGATGGAAGCAGGGAGAGAGAGAGAGAGAGAGAGAGAGAGAGAGAGAGAGAGAGAGGAGAGAGAGAGGAGAGAGAGAGAGAGAGAGAAGAGGAAGTATGTGACTTTGGGGTGGGTGTTGGGGCTTGGGGATGGGGAGGGTGCCAGCTTGTTTTATTTCCGGTTGACAAGACTTTGCGCTCCCTTTCTCTCTGTCGCTCCCTCTCTCTTTCATACTCTGCTATTCTTTCCCCGCTGCCCCCATTGCTCTGTCTCCCCCCCCCCCCCCCTTCTTTCTCTGTTACTTTCCTCCAAGACGTGCCTCGGAGAGAGCAGAGGACAGGTAATAAGGAGCATTAAGAACCTTTAGTTAGGTAAAAGCCCTCACAACACATAATGATACTTCATTATGAGTGAAGGTCCAAAATGTTACTTAACAGTAGAAATGTGTAAACAGAAAAATGCACTTTAAGTAACACATGTGGTTCTCATTTAGCTCAATGACTACATATAATAATAATAATAATAGATTTATTTTGTTAGCGCTTTTACAGGTGCTCAAAGACGCTTTACAGATATAGTGAAAAGAAAAGAAAGGAACAACAAATAAATATATAGTTAAAGTCAAATAATACAAAAACAATCACACATTAAAAGCCAGATTGAAGAGGTATCATACGCATATCATTATTTCTGATACATAAACATTAAATGCAGCGTTTAAATATTCATAGCTGGTTGAGGTGGAGCTTAGTGAAGCTATTCTGGTAGCTTCATGTAATACAATTCTTTATATGTTACAAAACCAATGTATGTATGTTTTTAATGCGTTTTAACTATATCTGTGAAATGAATGTAAGGGAGTAATAAAACAAAAATGTGCCTCGATAATAGTAAGTGTTGTAGAGGTATAAAGAAGCAAAACAAATTGAAATACTCATGTACAAATACCCCAAAATGTCCGCAAATGTACTAACAAAAATTGAAATTGAAAGAAAGTCAGTGGCAGTTGAGAAATAAAACTGCTTAGTTAATTAAAAATCTAAACTTATAAACCTTAAAACATGCCATAAACCCCCCACAAACCCTCATCTTCCAACCCCACTAAAGCTGGTTACGCCTTTGTTGTTCCTGTATTCAGAAATCATTGTTGCATCTTATTGTGTTCCAGTTGTTGGAATGTGGCATAACCTATGTGATCCCTATGTGCTGAGTGCAATATTGTGTGTGTGTGTGTGTGTGTGTGTGTGTGTGTGTGTGTGTGTGTGTGTGTGTGTGTGTGTGTGTGTGTGTGTGTGTGTGTGTATGTGTGTGTGTCAGTGTGTGTTTGTGTGTGTGAGGCGGCACGTGCTTCACTGCAAAGATTCATGTAGCTCCAGGACATGCTTTTTTTTTTAGTGCATCTTGTTAGTTCATTCCTGTCACCTCTCTCTCTCCCTCTCCCTCTCCCTCGCCATCCCTCGCTTTTTCAGCGCTGAAGGGGGGATGGGGAAGGGGTGGTGGACGGGCCTGGAAGGGGAGGGGGCGGCGGCGGTGGAGGCAGTCACCATGGTTACAATGCCACGACAAATATTCATCAAGTCGTTAAAATAAAAACAAACTGGAGTGCATTGTAATTGCTCTTACGGACTGGATCCTGTAATGCGTTCATATATTATGAGTGAGGGGAGCGGAGTGGAAGGGGCTCGCACACAAAAAAGACTACTAACAATATTAAAAAAAAGTTTAAATCATCTGACCTGCGGGCAAACACATATATGACACACTCCCACACATTTCAGCTGTGTGTGTATAACTATATGTTTCAATTACCTGTTTATGGAATTCCCTATGAGTACTTTCGTGTGTCTCTTTCTCTTTGTCCCTCCATCTCTCGCTCTTCCTCTACTGTTGTGTAGCCCGAGGCGATACTGTGATGTGTCCTCCCTCTGTCCCTCCCTCCCTCTCCCTCTCTCTCTGTCCCTGTCACCTTCAATTGCTCTGTGAAACTAGACACACTGCCTGGGGCATAGAGGCAGGGAGGGAGGGAAGAGAGGAAAAGAGAGAAGGAAAAAGGGAGACGGACAGACAGCGTTAGACGGACAGAAGGAATAAACATTTGGTGTCATGTAATACAAAAAGAGTAATGGCAGCCCTGATGTGTGGCACACTCTCAAAAACAATCATCTTTAGTCAATTTGACAGCCAAAAACATCAAACTCGCTTAGCTGTTGGAAAAAATACAATCAGATACATATGCACATCTACCCAATTTAGGGCAGTATTTGACCTTTGACCTGGGTCATTTTGGGCCTAATCCTACATGCTCCAGGATGCCTCTTGTGTGTGCTATAACCCAGTTGCTTCTCCTTGGAAAATAAACATGTCAAACTGGTTTGTGTTGTTCCTGGAGCAAGGAACATGAAGTAGCCTACTCATTGTGTTTACAAACACAAAAGGCTAATGGCAACCACAGAACAGCTTCATCTTGTTTACCTGGTATTAAGGTGAAGCTTATGTTTAAGTACAGATGACCTAGTAGTTTACATTGGTGGTCGTTTGTTTTAGCAAAATGATGTGATTTGATTTGAAATATGAAAGGTTATTTTTCTTTAACCCTCATGTAAATACCAATAACACAGGTTATATCTTTAAATGGCTGATACAATTTCTGTATTTATTTTGGGGAAAAAGAGCTATAAAAAAAGTCATACATTATATTATTAGAATATATCCACTGAACGACTCATTAACATGATAAGCGTGCCAATGTAAACAAACGATTTTACACATGATGTACAACATATCTTACTCAATATACAGTTAGTTAGTTGAACATATATATTCAACTAAAATAAAACATCGCGCTAAACAACAAGTTAAAGCACCAAAACAAAATGTAAACCGTATTTGCAAGTAAAATCAAAAACAAGTGGACTAACCGCATGTTATCACTTACCTCTGTCTGGGATTGAGGCCTGCATGATTATAACTGACGAAATGTTAACATGCAAATTCACTTGGTGGGAAAAGAGAAAAGGATCATATTATTCACACAAAAACGGAAAAAGGACATTTTTTGTTACCAAATCAGGAGGCAGATATGGTTGGTCCTCGGTTGTGCTCCTTAAATGTAATTGGTACGCAGGTAAATCAGGAGGCGGGACAAGCATTTTGATTGGCTGTAGGCGCACAGGTAACCATCTGTTGGTGATCTAGGCGTTTACTCGGAATTTACTTGAGAATTTTTCGGAAAGCCTGGAACCGTTAAGGGATTTATCGACGGCAAAACGCACGGAAATGTAACTTTTTTAATTGTCTTACTGCTCCAGTTTAAGCCTCAACAGAGGAAGAAGAAGTGGGACATTGCATGTAACGTTTTTAGAGGATACTGTTCTTTGTTAAGAGATAGTCGTTTCTGCTCAATAGTTGCTGCAGCGAAATCTGACAAAATGTCGCCAAAATCACAGTTTCGTGCCATCTTTCTGTGCGTAATAGGTGAGTTTGAACCCTCATTTCCCCCATTCATGTCCCCCTTGCTCTCGCCATGTCTGCTGTTGATTTGTCCACCTGTTAAACATACTGTGTTAGCTAATCGGACAGAACTGTATTTTCGCTTGTTGAGTAAAAAAAACAGCTCCATCGACCAAAAGTGAGTCTCAAATGTAATTTGTGTTAATATATTTAGGCGTTTTGGCTTCCGATGCCCAAGAATGTGGCCGATCACCGATAGTGGAGAACAGGATTGTGGGAGGGATGGACGCCATAGATGGTGCTTGGCCGTGGCAGGTGGATATACAGGTAGGTCCCTTGTAATACTCTTCAGCATCAGTTATACGTGGGGTTTACTCCAGGTCTTGTTTATAAAACCTGCTGAGAGGGAGTTTGCTTGTTGCTTGTCGAGGTGACTCACTCCTTTTCCTCCCCCCTTCGGCCTCCAGTTAACGACTGCTATTCATATCTGTGGAGGCTCCATCATCTCAGAGTACTGGGTCCTATCAGCCGCTCATTGTTTCCCCAAGTAAGTAAACTGTCCTCAGACTCACTGATTCACAGCTGAGAGACAATCACATTCCTTTGTGTGCTGTGTTGGTCATTTTAGGTGTTAAATATCATGTTATCTATTCAGGAAGCTTCTATATCCCAACTAGAGTGATTTGTTTTAAATGTTTAACTTATTGCAAGGATGCACACCAGGAAGTCTTTTAGAAAATGACTTTCCCTCCAAACAAACCCTATTTGTTTAATGTTCAAGGTTAGTTTATTTGTATAGCACATTTTAGGACACAGAGGCAAGTCAAAGTGCTTCACATAGGCATTTAACACAAAACAAATACACAAACAAAAAAGACAATTCATAGAAGCGATAAAATACTGGCTGCAGCTAAAAGTGCAATGATAAGGCACGGTTAAAGGATCTCAGGATAGGCTACATTAAAAACAAAGCTTTTTAACCTTGATTTAAAAGAACCCAGGGTTGGGCCTCAGAATTTCAGGCAGTGTGTTTTCCAGGCTTGTGGTGCATAAAAGCTAACCAGGAAGTATCTTAGAGTTTTACAATCTATTTGACAAGGTAGTAGAAATACCTAGTCATAACACAATATATAGAAACAGTCAAAATACTACAAGAACAGCTATTAAAAACAGTGGCCTTTCAATAAAAAAACAACCACATGCCTGTGTCCTGCGCCATTGTGATGAATTTGACTACATCAATAATAATGAGTGTTTCTAATGTTGAGAACTAATTGTCGATTATTTCGAATGAATGTTGCTTAGTAGGACAAAGGAGTTTTCATTTGATTTATTTGACTTTACTAGATGAATGTTCAAGGACCAACATGTTGTTATTAAAGTGAGTGCAAGTGAGCAGAACTTTGTATTTTTCTTCTAGATTATAGTAAACATTTCAAGTAGCACCTGTCTGACATTAGGCCATTACATTCCCTATTGTTTCGAACCCCGCTCAATTTCCATTCATACAGTATTCATATGTCTTCTTTCAGTCCCTCAGATTTAAGCTCTTACGTCGTCTACGTTGGCCGGTACCAGCTGAACGGATGGAACCAGCACGAGGGGATGTACAGTGTGAGCCGGGTGGTGATCCCGTCTGGTTACAGCGAGCCGCACAATGGGAAGGACCTGGCGTTGGTGCAGCTGTCCAGCCCAGTGACCTGGTCAGATTACGTCCAGCCCGTCTGTTTGCCCGACTCTGGCACGCTGTTCCCAGAAGGCCTGCTGTGCTTCGTCACCGGTTGGGGAAATGTCAGGGATAGCGGTAAGGCTTGCTAAATTCTGCACATTGTCTTAGTATATGTAAAGATTACTGTTGTGCAGCAGTTGATTATTCTACAGGTCTCTGAAATGCCCTGGTTTTTCTGATGTCATGCATGAAGTGGAACACACTCATCATTTGTGAATACACTTTTATTTATTTGCCATACAGTTATATGTTTATGATATTAATTATTATATATTTTTTAAGATAAATATGTGTGTGTGCTGTGCTGGAATATCATAGTGAAAAGTACAGTTTGGGTGGGAAATTGATTCATGTAAGAATCAAGATGTTGTTATTTTTAACATCAATATTTTATTATTTTTACTAGTTTTACCAAAAAAACATTTTTTTGGTAAAACATTTTAATAAGCGTTTTCAAATATAGAAACTCTCTCTTATACACACCCTTTACTCCACTTTTCATTTAGGGGTGTTAGAAAATATTTATACACAATAAATAGTTTAAAATACAATCAAGATGTCATTTAAATGCTTAAATGCACCAACATACTAGTAATTAGCATTCATTTTGAACCATACTACTGTAGATTGTAGCATACACCCACTGACTACCTATGTTAAGTATTTTCTTAATGTTATTATTTTATTTATGAATCATTTAAGTAGGCCTTAGGTTAAATATCAAATGTGTTATATCTCTCCTCCTGTCAAGTTATTCTCTCCAAAATGTAGTCTTAAAACATAGATGTGCAGAACTGTCGGCCCACAGCTGATAAGAGTTAAGACTGCGAGGTCAGTGAGATACAAAGCCTTGCGACACATTTCAGAGGCAGCGATGATACAGATATTTTGCTTTGAAAATGTTAACAAGGGTTTTAATGAACCATCTAGTGTTACAACTTTGGATAAACAAGTTTATCGCTTCCCCTATTTAGGATAAATCAATCAATCAATGTTTATTTATATAGTCCAATATCACAGATGTTACATTTGTCTCAGTGGTCTTCACAGTTTGTACAGAATATCAGTATGACAATACGACACCCTCTGTCCTTAGACCCTCACATCGTACAAGGAAAATCTTCCGGAGAAAACCCACAGTTTAAAAGGAAAAATGGGAGAAACCTCAGGGAGAGCAACAGAGGAGGGATCCCTCTCCCAGGACGGACAGACGTGCAATAGATGCCGTGTGTAAATTGAAAAGATAATACATTTGCAACATAGGTAGTCCAAATGTTTGGAAATGCATGTGTGTATAATAGGAAGATGAATCCACGAGGATATCCATCCAGGACTTATGATCCAGGACCACAGCCACGACTCAAGATCCAGGGCTCGCGATCCAGGACACAGGACCGCAGCAACAGGATCATCCATGACTCCGGATCCCAGCGTATATAGACACCAAAAAGAAAGACATTTGGGGAAGCTGGGTTAATCGGAACATGAGAGTACACAGGTATAGACAGAGAGAAGGAAGAAGTAAGATGTCCCCCGACATACTAAGCCTATATCAGCAAAACTAGGGGCTGAATCTAATCAGCCCTAACTATAAGCTTTATCTAAAAGGAAGGTCTTAAGCGCACTCTTAAAAACGGATAGGGTGTCTGCCGCCCGAACACAAACTGGAAGCTGATTCCACAAATGTGGAGCTTGATAAGAAAAGGCTCTTTAAATATAAGAAAAGGCTCTGTAAATATCGAGAGAGAATGGCTTGGCTCCAGAACGTATGGTGTTATACAATGTGATTGCACTATTCTACAAGATCCAATAAACCTTTAGCACCAGAGATCACTTTGGTGTCTTGCAGCCTTCTTTGATTCTAAGTACTTGTCTCATTAAGATTTTCCTTCACAAACTGTTTAGTTGCAGAAGTTACAAAGTCTCCCTCACCATCCTCTTTTTAGTCCCTCTGCCAGGACTCGGGACTCTGCAGGAAGTGGAGGTGCCAATCATTTCCCAGAGTTCATGTCAGGAGATGTACCAGACGCACCCGACGGAGCAGGTGGACATCCTGTATGACATGATCTGTGCTGGATACCAGAAGGGCGGCAAGGACTCCTGCCAGGTACTGTTGGATCAGCTGTTTGTGATGCTCTGTGTTTACAGTCACTCAGACACACTCACGAGCAAAAACAAAACCTGCAGTGAAGAACACGTGTACTTTTCCTGCTAGCATGCACTGTGTAGTTTTTAAGATCTTCCTTTAGAGCACTTTATTTCCTCCCCAAGCTGATTTGAGTGTGTCTTCTCCTCAGGGCGATTCAGGAGGGCCCCTTGTCTGCAAGATGGTGAATGGGACCTGGGTGCAGGCGGGGGTGGTGAGTTTCGGACTGGGCTGTGCTCAAGAGAACCAGCCAGGTGTTTACGCGAGAGTCACCAGCTACTCCAGCTTAATCAGAGACGCGGTCCCAGGGATCCGCCTGTATGGCCGAGCTGCAAAGAACTGGTGTGGGAGGGCGGCCATGTTGGTCAGCTGGCTGTCCTCTCTACTGATCCTGCTTCAGAGGTAGAACACTGTATCAACGCGATATCAGACCAAATGAAGGAGAAAACAAATAATATGTCAGACTCACGTCCAAAGTTATCCTGAATGGTAGAACTAGAAACCTGAAGTGCATATCAAGCCATATTGAACAAGAAATGTAATTTTAATCGTAATTTTTGTAACTGATTAAATGTAGTTTTGATAGGTTTGTATTTGAAATCAGAATTATGAGCTTAATAAATTATGTGTTCTGTATTTGAAATAAATTGTTCATTTGATTCTTAAAAATCAGGTCAGTGTTCTGTTCAACTTTTTATAGCTGAGTTTGGAAGTGTTTGACACATTTCTGAGATCAAGTTTTTTTTTTAATCCTTTTTCAAATGTTTATTTTAAAAGCAGTAAGTCAATCTTAAGGTGTGTTTCCAACAGTACCAACTTAATATCAATGTTGTTGGGGAATAATTCTAACTCCTTTACTCCTAAGATATCTAACCTTTTTGCCCTTTGACGTTTACGACCAACCCTGACTCGGTTATCTCCCTTAAGGAATGTGTTGCTCCAGCCATATGGCGCTGGCTCCAGCTATATGTTGATATTCCCAGTTTATGACCGGGCAAATCTCGGACACAAATGGTTTATGGTTCTGAGAACGCTGGAACACTTCCTTCTCTGTGTTTGTGGACTCCAAGGTGCATTCTTCGAGGCCATGAGGGTCAGACAAGTGATTCACTGTCCCCAGATGTTTAGGCTATCTCCCCCAATATGTTGATTACTCTCTGTAAACTAGTTTAAAAGGTCTAGCGAGACAGAGGCGCTTGAGAATTGACGTGGCAACCCTCCCGTGCAGTCAGAACCTCTGGCTGTGTGAGTTGTGATGTGAATCCTCCGGCCGATATTTGTAATAAACCATCAGTGTTTGACATCAAAGCTCCAACTCTCCTCGTGTCTCTCTGAGTCCTGACTCTCCATTGCTACAGAAGTTTCCCTTACAAATGTTACTGTCATTTATTAAATATCCAGAAGCAGAGGCAGGTGATGACACTTCTTTATTAGAAAGAGAGCGCAACATGTCATTATGGTAATAAAAAAAGACTACTTTGTAGTGCATATTTATAAAAAAAAAGAAAGCTAGCTTTTAAATTAGTCTGTATAAGTCTTCAGTCAAGATTTTCATGCTATATTAAAAATTCGAACATTCACACAAATCAAAATGTTGTCTTATAAAGTCCAGGCAGGGAAGGTCAGGCATCAGGAGGAATGGTATCAGAGAGGATCATGGGAGAGCCAAGTTGTAACTCCTGCTGCAGCGATTCCAGATCAGCTGGCGTCATGCGGTGCACCTCGCTCCAGTCAGAGAGCAGGGAGGCTGAGAGGGGGGCCGAGTCGTAGCTGCAGGGAAATAGAGAAAGCATTAAATTATCCCTCTTTTTTATATTATACTCATTTAAATAGCATGAGTGACAACACTGTATCATTGTAATGAAAACTGATTATTTACAGTATAAATGCATTGCTGGTCCCACAGCGAGTATTTACATTGTTATAATAAAGGGACAGTGCAGATAAAAGGCAAAATTGAAGTTATTAAATATTAAATAACGAGGCAGGCACACATTTATAAAAGAAAATAAGTACACATCGATAGTAAAGCCAGTAATGCATTAAAATGGCAAAAGAGTATATATTGCACAACTTGAAAATGTTGTGTTTTTTTTTTTAATGAGGGAGAATGAGTTTTTTGTGAATGGGTAAAGTTTAAGCATGAAACTATCATTTCATTTTGTATAACTAGTTTTAGACATTGGATTAGTTTGTGAAAGCAAACCAGGCTCACTATGTATTAGACCTTACCTGTCACAGTGTTGCAGGTCTGTGAGAGACTGGTTGAGAAGGTCATCGAGGTCAAAACCCACGCCGTACCCGGCCCCGCTGCCTTTAGGGGTGACGGAGAACACCGGTGGCAAAACGTCCTCCACCTGACAGGAGAAGAAGAGGAAACGATGGGTCAACTGAACTTCCTGAAGATCAGTTCAAGGCAAGCAGGAGATATGTGACATTTCAATCTGTTATATATGTACACAATAGAATATTTTACAAGAAAGGCACACCTGGGACTTTGAGAGCTGCAGTGTGACTGTATGGATGTCAGGGGCTACAGAGGGCCCTTGCTGTCCAGTGTCTGTGAATCCTAAACTGGGATGAGGCTGTGAGGGGACCCCTAAAGCCCCACAGAGAGGGTTTGTAGTCTGTGTCCTGGATTTCTCTCCTATAGAGGTACACAGCTTCTCCATCGGACCATTGGTTGCAGTCGAGGGGTTCGGGTGGGCGTTGAGGTTATTCTGGCGTCTGATATCAACATTCCCATTTGTCTCTCTGCTGGTTAATGTCTGAGCTTTAGCCAAAAAACTCTCCAGGGGAAGCAGTTGCGTGTGAGGTTGAGGGTCAGGCTGGGTTTGAATCTGAGGTTGGAGAAAGCTTGACGGAGGAGGCTGCGGTTTCCTGTTTGGTTGTGGTTGTTGCGGCGGCCTCGTCTCGAGATGCTGCCCGTTCCAATTCCCCAAACAGCTGAAACCACTCTGTCCGTTGCGCTCGCTGTGAGGTTTGAGCGTGTTGTTCTTAACAAAGCCACTAGTGACCGACATTATATCCATCCCTCCGCTTACAGCAACGGCCGCGTCCGCTGAAGGTTTCCTCTGGCCCATGGAGAAATGTAAGGGCGGTTGCTGGGTGCTGGGAGGCTGAAACAGGCCCTGCTGGTTAGGTTTAACTTGTGAGAGTAATTGTTTAATAGCTTCCTTGGCTGTCTTATTGTTCACGGCTCCTTGAGTTTGATCACCGATAGCTACACCCCGGTGGGAGTTCACATTACAGTCGTTGTTCTTTGCTCCGTCGTTATTAGGAGAGTAAGATTTCTCATTGCGGCTGTCCATCATCTTTGTCCAACGTTGCAAAAGGCTTTTGTCGTCGTCACTCAGCAGAACCCCACCCAGCGAGTCCCCCTGCCTTCCCTCTCTTCTCTCCTTTTCCTTTATTTTCCTCTCCCTCTCTCGTGCTCGTTCCTGCCTCTTTTTTCTTTTCTCCTCTCTTTCCCGTTGGCGCTCCTGAGCTGTGACTGGCCGACGCGAATCTGGAACTGAAGACAGGGAGGATGATACACCTCCTCCTGCGGCAACGTCTATGCCCAGCGCAGAGGTACCTCCATCTGCAGTGAAGATAGGAAATTATGTTAAAGGGACGTCTAGAGTCAATGATATAAGAAGATATGAAAAACAACAAACTTACCACCCCTGGCTTTATTTCTGAGAGCTGATTTCAATAAAGCCGCTTTAAGAGCAGCTTTAGTATCCTCTGAAATGGCTCCTTCTTTTCTGGTCCCCTCTCCGCCACCTGGAGGAGGCCGGGCATTCTTAGACAGTGACTGTGAGAGGGTCTGAGACAGAGACTGGGCCTGAACCACGGAGAGACTTAGGGAAGGCACAGTGGCGGGTAGGGGGGTCATGGTTTGAGCTGGCGTTCCTGGAATAGATGAGGGAGCCTGGGTCATGTTCTGGTTCTGCGTGGGCTGACTCAGAGGAGCCTGACTTCCTGTTAGCTGCTCCTGCACCTCACTGTCTCTCATTGTTTCTGACAGAGCATCCTGACCAGACACCGGTGTTGTTAAATCTATAGTTTCAGGCTGACCACTGTCTGAGTTGGCACTGGGCATGTCCACATCAACTGGGCCACTCTCGCTTTTGGAAAGTAGAGGCAAATGATGTGTCAAGTGAGGTGGGGCGGCTTTTAAAAGAGACCCAGTTGTAAATGTGTGGCTCCCTTCTGCTGGTGTGTGATCTTGTTGCTGTTGAGATTCCACTTCCCTCATTTGCTGTTGTTGAATCTGTGCTGCTTGTGGGTGTTGTGCCATTGGAACCAGTGTGGATTTGTTTAGGTGAACAGCAGAGGGCTGAGCATTACACTGGTTGCTGCTTTGTGCTGCTGCTCTGACGTTTGCCCTTGCCAAGGGCCTGAACTGCAGTCTTTGACGGCAGCCCTGTTTGTTTTGATGAAAGTCCTGGATCTCCATCAGAATGGCCTCTTTAATTTGTTCCCTGTTCATCTGAAGCTTGTCAAATTCAAAGTCAAAAGCTGGCACGCATATTGGCTCATCATCTGGGTCGTGGTACTTTGACAGGTAAGGATGCTCCAGCGCTTGCGTCACACTGATTCTCTCACGAGGGTCGAAGCTCAACATGTTTAGCAGCAGGTCCAAAGCCTCGGGTTCAGCTTGTGGGTACAGTTTGGCCAACGGTACAGCAGACCGTGATGGAAGACTCTGGACATAGGAGCGCACCCTGTCGGCTCTAATAGTACTTATCAACCCCTCAGGAGGAGTGCCTAACACACCCAAAATGAGCGTGAGCTGGTGGACATAGTGCTTCCCAGGAAAAATCTGCTTACGGCCCAACATTTCCGCAAAGATACAACCCACAGACCACATGTCAATAGCCAGGCTGTAGTGATTCAGAGACAGCAGGAGTTCAGGAGCACGGTACCATCGAGTTGCAACATATTCAGTCATGAAGGAATGAGACTCCTCGGGGTGAGAACTGAGACCCCTTGCCATGCCGAAGTCTCCAATTTTTAGCTCACAGTTCTCGTTCACCAACAGGTTGGAGGGTTTGAGGTCGCGATGGATGACGTTGGCAGAGTGCACATATTTGAGGCCGCGGAGCAGCTGGTACAGGAAGTAGCGCGTGTGCTCTGAGGTGAGCGTCTGGCAAGAGTGTATGATCTGGTGCAGGTCACTCTCCATCAGGTCCAGCACCACGTACCTACACACATTGGAAATGAATCAAAGTTAAATATGTAGGAGATATATAAAGTATAAGATGATATCAGCTACAAAACCTATCTACATTTCCACAGACATAATAGTGTTGAACATAAACACATTTTTAAGGTTTTGTTTTAATCTGTTTAATTTAGCCACATTTGATCAATTTCCAAAATGCATATTTCAGGTCCACATTTTTGTTATTACATTCGAAGTTTTTGGATATTGATCAACATTACTGAATGCTCGAAATGGGTGAAAAAATTGTGAACGTCAAGATAAAGGGGTATATTGCAACTTGCTGTAAAAACTGTTGTAATGTTTAGTTGTTTTTAAATGTGTTGACTAAAATCCGACATCCAATTCTTTCATCCAAATCCCAAAGTATATAATAAAAGTTAATATTTCCAGATATTGACTTTATAATACACTTGGGGTTTACAGATGTTTCAAGTCTGAGGAGGAACATTAAACAACCGTTAAAAAATACTTACACAGACTTGAAGGCAGAGTGAGGAAGGTTAGGCTGCAGGATGTCTTTGATGGCGATGATGTTGTCATGTTTGAAGTGCTTGAGAATCTTCAGCTCTCGCAGTGTGCGTTTAGCATTTGTCAGCACTTCAAAAGCATTGGAGATCTTCTTTATCGCCACCTGCTGGCCTGTGAAATGTAAAGACGCCCCAATGAAGAGTTAGAATGACAATATTAACTGATAATAGTATTCAATATTGAGGATTGTAGTTCACACAGAATGCGTTTATTCTTCATTAAATCAGTCCTACCATTGTCCCTTCTCCTGGCAGAGGAAACGACGCCATAGGCCCCTGTGCCGATGGTTTCTATGACATCATACTCCTCTCCAACGTCAAACTTCACGTCCAGAGAGTGTGCTTTAAGCAAAGCCAGGTTTTTTTCTGCTGTGCTGGTGTCTGCGGGGCCTCCTGTTGCCTCGACATTACCCTGGTTCTGGTTTTCTCTGCTTTTATCGGTGGCCATTCTTTCAGGTGACATGGCCACATTCGGATCATTTTTTCCTTCTCCCTCCTCAGTTGACATGTTCCTGTAAAGAATCAAACAATGGCAAAGTATTTTTATATTAGGATGGTTATTTTCTAATATTGATTACAAGACGGCAAATGTATGCAAAAATCACAGAAGATAATCAAACTTATGTACAAAGCTACACTACATTATATCAGCCCAATTTAATCAATCTTATGTTCATAATTGCAAATTAAAACAAAAAAAAATTATAATTCAGCCCTACTCAAATGTGAATATTGCCGCTCTTTGTACATCAAATATCTTCATGTTTTGATGTTATAAATGGCAGATTAATAAATAACCTTTAGTAGTAGCAACAAATAGATGTGGCATTTATGAGAATAATACAATCCTGCATTTACACATGCATTCTTAAAACACAATATATCGGCATAACCTAAAGGTGGGTAAATTGTGTTGCCTTACAAAACATACTGGTCCATTACTTACTGCTTGTTAAAATTAGTTACTGTGTCCTAATAATCTATCCTTAGTTAGACAACGAAATAAACGCAAAAAAACAGTGATCATCTGACGCTGAAAGACCAGAGATGAGAGCCACGGATGTGAATCAAACAGGTAATAATCTGTATTTTGAATCTAATGTAATAGTATCAAAGTTTGAAGGGGTATGTACTATATATGTACATGGGAAGGGTTTGCTTGCTGTTGCTATATAATTGTTCTGTATGTGTTTATAAAACCTTTCACTCAAATCTTTTACTCTCACCCCGGGCCCCCAGGAGCCAAATCAGGACTGTTTCTCAAAAGGTCAGTCAGGTCAATCAGGTAAAGTAGTCTGAACAGCATTATAGATAACACCTATTGGATTCATACAATGATTTGCCAATTTAGTAACAATATGGATTTAACAAAGGTATTGTTTGCGACCAGACGTAGACAACAAGCTGACCATCAACTATCCATTAGGCCTGGATGTCAGTCAAAACCTGTAGCTCTGTCAAAAGAAGGATTTAGGTTACAGCTGGAGTCTGTTGACCAATACATAGGCAGAGAACAATTCTACAAGGAGTTGTCTTTAAGGAAATGCTAGTTATTTTACTACATAGAGGATCAAATAAACTAATTAGCCTACATGATAAAGACGCAGCCTTACCCACTTTTGACGCAGGGGCGTAGGCTAACGTTACCTGAAGCTGAGGCTTTCTGTGAACGTAAACCGTTAAATAATGTCCATCTCGGTTTATATTACCAAATAGGACACACATAAAAACGTGTTTCGAAGTGAAGGACTAGACTCTCACCTTGTGAACCACCCACAACATTCGTAATTGTGTTTTTAATCCCGTAGTAGTACTGCTATCTCTTGTTTTTGTCTGCCGCTTCCTTGTACAGTTCCTTGTTCTGGTTTGAGTGACATGTGGCCGGCCAACCACGTTGGACGACGTCCGAGAGATTGTCCAATAAAGAGCAGATAACGTGATGGGAGGCGGGACATCACCGCAGACAGTAGGGTCTCTGTTTTTGGGTGGTAGTAGTGACGCTGTTTTCCAGGATACATTTTCGGAGGGGCCATATTGGGACACATTTACCTGCATTTAAACCTCTTTGTATATGTACTGGACTTAAATAACAACTAGTGAAGTAGAACAATACATACTACCACTAATACCTTCACAATTACTAATTACTAAACTGATAAAAGGTCAATAATAATTACACTAATAATTTAACTTGGAGCCTGCATGTATGATTGATGGATAGACAGAAGAATGGGGAGATAGACAAAAGGGAGACACGGATAGATGGCTTTGAAATCAAATACAAACTTTAGTTGTTGCGTAAATTAATTATGCACAGTGATGGCTAGTAAATAGTCTTAATGCTTACATTTATTAACTTGTTTTATTATTCATGTGTTGATAGTTTATACTTACAATACTTATTTGACATCTTCATATCCCCTATAAATCAAGAATCAAATAATCAAACTTTTCCTATCACAATAACGGCCCGTCTACACTACAGGCATCTACACTACACTATACTACACTACAGGGTTAAATAGTCTATGTATCATGGTATAGCTGGCACTTAAATTTAACGCAACTTTAATTAGTAATTTGGTCATGTAAACAGATGTGAACACATAATTTATTAACAAGGTTGACACAATGACCTTTTTGTTTATAATGTACTCTAGTGGTGCAGGCATGTAATAAGAATAAAGTAGTTAAAAATTAGTTATAGGCTATGTACGGATAAAAGCGTCAGCTAAATGCTATGTAATGTACAAAAACAACATTAAACATGTCGTATTTTTCCAGCTGATAATATAATGTACTATGTATAACATTTGAATGCAGGCCTGCTACTTTAAATTGATTTTGGTGTAAATTAGTACTTCTTCCAGCAGTGATTTTCTAACACCAAACAGACTGAAGTCCACATTAAATACAGTGTAAACAGTCCTCCTGGCTGGTCTAGATCCGGCTGTCCAATGAGAGGCCGAGACAAAAACCACCGGACCAATCAAAACCGAGAACCCAACTTTTTACGTCGCTTCCCAGGAAAACAATTTAGTGAAGTTTGGAAGGAAACCGAATCGGACATCTACAGTCATATCAATAAACTGAACTGTAACAATGGCATTGCCGAAATGGGAGAGAAAGACGCGGGTATTTCTCTGCGTGTTCGGTTTGTTCTTGTCTGTTTATGCGCTTCACGTCGAGCTGTCCCGAGAAAGTAACCCAGATTACAGAGCGATGTGCGACCTGGGGGAGTCGGTGAGCTGCTCCAAGGTTTTCACCTCCAGGTATGTTAGCTATTTCTCGTGTGTTTGCTCTTACCTGCTCAATTGTGCATAATCCCTATACCGCGACTTGTACTTCAGCGACAATTGAATGATTTCATGCTTTTACATGATTTTATTAAATCTGCATCTCCAGCCCACTGCCACGTGTTAAAATCCTTTAAATGCTTTAAACCCCTTAAATCAGATACTGATCTACAATACCAAGTAGAACATCTTCTTTACATGTTTTTGTTTTATAAGCTGCATGCCTATATGTTTTACAGGAGATATAAACCATTTTGTAGGCTATCTATTTACTTTGTTTTCAATATGTCCTTGTTATGTCCTGACTGTCCCTTTTTCTTTTTTGGCAGATGGGGACGTGGCTTTGGTTTGGTCCAGTTTTTTGTTGCCGCAGATAACCCTCTGAACCAGCCCAACAGTGTGCTTGGCATCATATTTTACACTCTGCAGATGGGCCTGGGTTAGTTTGTCATTATCAATATCCCCTGCAAATTACAGTGCAGTTTTGAGTGTTTTTATGCAAAGTAATGTATGTAACATTCAGAATGTTAGTCAACCATAGCTGCGCCTGCCTAAAAAAAAATTAAGTAATCATATGTCATGCAGGATTTCACCAACATGACTTATCTAACATATATCTAACTTTTTTTTTTTCAGGTCTGTCTCTGTCCAAAAAAGCAGCAATGTTGTTGGTCTTCTTCTCCTGGGTGTCTGTGGCCGGCTCACTCTACCTTGCATCTATTCTCGCCTTTGTTCTGGGGGATTTCTGCATGGTCTGTGTGTCAACATATATTGTCAACTTTGCGTTGCTCTTCACCAACATCAAACGTAGAAGAGCGTTTGAAGGAGTGAAGGAAAAGGCTGGATAAAAAGGGACACTTGTGAAATTCTACACCTGAAGCCTCACTGGATCTGAAAGCACGTTGTCTTCCACAGTTCTTCTGCATGCTGTTCAGACCTTGCAGAGAAACAGGACTGGATATGCATCAATGAAAATGTACATGATGATCTTTAGTACAGAAACCTGTAAGAGCTGCTGTCATTTTTGTATAAGAATGTGCATTTGTGATGGTGAATACACATCTTTGAACACTAACTCTTGTCTCATGTGATTAAGGCCTGGCTTGTGAAGAAATGTAAGATCCTAAAAATGGGAATACATGAATCCACATTTTAAAATACTAGGTGGTAAAACAATGAAGAGACATGCAGTTACTCAGTGTACCCAGGAGATAGAGCCAAAAAGCACGAGATAATCAGGGTGAATGTAGAGGTAAAGTGTTATTTTGAAACCACAGTATTCACATGGTTAAACAAACATGTAATGTGATATGGTCTTCAGAAATAAAATGGCTAACTGCTTGCTTACCAGGTATGATTTTTTTTTTTTTCTGTTGCCAGCTTGTGTTGTTTGGAAGGTTAATTATTTGCTATGATCTCAAGAATCTTTTTGAGATGAAGAACAAACATGAAAGCTGCAGGATAATGGGATAAATCAGGCCTTTTGTGCCGAACAAACATAGCTAATGTTAGCTACATCAACTGACAGTGGGTGTAAACTGAAAATTGAGGAGTATAAAAGTAAGTTGATGAGACCGGCTATGCGCCAAGCCAGTCACATTTAGGTCATCTGAAATGGCGCATAATGTAAGATTTTATAACTTTCTGGTTTTGCATCCGTCCAATTTGTTGCACAAACATTTTTCACTCACTACAGTCTATGTTACATAACACCATTTCACGTCCTGTTCAGCAAGTCTAAATTAGTACGGCTGCTATTGATTTGCTGGATGCAGTGAAAGGTTCAAGATGCCCCACCTGTTGAGACACAGCGTAGTTTGTCACTAGTGTTAATTTGATCCAACTGGGCCAAATAGATTGATTTAGTTGTGGCACCGAATCTGTCCTCCTGTCATTACATCAGTTTTGAGTCAAACTGTAGGACTTCATTCCTGCTGCCACTGTGACCTTCATCAAACATCTGATAAAGAAACAATGAAGACAAATGTCATTTTCCACATGTCCATTCACTTTACAGGTAACTACAGTGTCCAAAACAACACCTTGTTCAATTCAACGACAAAGCCTAGACCAATAGAAACAACACAAAAGAAAGTGTCAATCCTTTACAAATGTGTAGAAAGGAGAGAGTTTGTTTCACAATACAGTATTGTTTCAGCAGCTTTGTTAGCATTCTTCCTGACGGTTGATTGAGTGAGGACAGACTGCGTCACAAACAGACGTTCTTCCTCATAAGAGACAGCTTCCTTCCTCATAAGGTAGTCTTCTACATTTTGCCCAGCTAGGCATCAAATGTATATTTCCCAATGAAGAATTACCCCTGTTACTCTAATTAAAGTAACAGGGTTGAAAATCAATGCTAATTTGAGCTTTAACCTCAGGAATTATTGCTAGATGTAGCATGTAATACTACTTTCAAGGCAAGGACAAACTTGGATATTTAATGAAAGAAAGATCATTTTGAAATGAATATGCTTTATTCTGATAATATGAGTAACATGGTTGAGTGGGTTAGAGTGCCACACTCTTTTAAGACTGAAAAGATTGTAAAAAATATGAAAAATACATTTACAAGAGAGGACTTAGTTTTGGTCTACCCATGGCACTAGCACATGGCTTGCTGATGTCACTTCCACTGTGTCATCTGACTTACAGTTTTTTCACTTCCTCTGCCAATCTAAAATGGTTTGGGTAGATTTTACCATTACAAGAGACATATATCAATAGAATAATACCAACAAAATAAATAAAATCCCTATTTTAAATGTTATATTTGACATGCAAGTTGGTCACCAAGAAGCGGGTGACAAGAGAAAAAGGCCATTTTAGGGGGTGTTCGAGAGCTATTTGATCATTTAAATAATATTTTTAAACCACTTTTTCTACAACTTTTTCTACATTTTGTCTCAAGACAAGTATGTTTAACACAACAAGTGCATGTTATAGATTTTTGGGCATGGATTATTATATTTTTTATATGGGGGACATGAAATGTCCTCCAATTCTGGAATGATAGCCAAAGCATTTACAGACACAGCGGCCAGCTTCAATAGTTATAGCAGCTTTTAGTCTGTTTAATGAGACCAGCTCTCTGAGTTTCAGCTCAATTTGAAGCTGGTTCCATGCTTCAGGAGCAGCGTAACTGAACGCCCTCTTTCCAAGTTCAGTACGGACTTTTGGTACAGTTAAAAGGAAAAAGTCCTCGGAGGGAAGTCGATAAGATCATGTACCAAGAATAGCCTTATATATATATGTATATTAGGGCTGTCAGTCGATTAAAATATTTAATCGCGATTAATCGCATGATTGTCCATAGTTAATCGCGATTAATCGCAAATTAATTGCACATTTTTGATCTGTTCTAAATGTACCTTAGAGGAATATTTTTCAAGTTTTTAATACTCTTATCAACATATGAGTGGACAAATATGCTTTATGCTAATGTTTATTATCATTTGAACAATGACAAATATTCTCATGAATATTAAACACAACAACCTCTGCATTACAAATATTCGCCTCAATTCAACCTGGAACCTCTCATACAATAATACAATACGTGTGTGTGTGTGTGTGTGTGTGTGTGTGTGTGTGTGTGTGTGTGTGTGTGTGTGTGTGTGTGTGTGTGTGTGTGTGTGTGTGTGTGTGTGTGTGTGTGTGTGTGTGTGTGTGTGTGTGTGTGTGTGTGTGTGTGTGTGTGTGTGTGTGTGTGTGTGTGTGTGTGTGTGTGTGTGTGTGTGTGTGTGTGTGTGTGTGTGTGTGTGTGTGTGTGTGTGTGTGTGTGATGGATCGTTGGAGCTATGTGCAACTCAAGGCATATGCTCGAACGGGAGCTGCCTGGACGCTGCAATCATGTTGCGCACTATCCGTGCTGAGTGTGCTGACTTTTCGTACAATGTCCCACTGTCTGGCTTCCTGCATAAAGTCAAGTGCTCGGCGCAGTTGTGGCGAAATGTCGTTCCTCTGTTTTCATTTAAACAGCTCCTTATATCCGTTAGCGCAGCTAGCTAGCACCAGATGCTAACAACAACAATACACTTAAGGTCTCTCTCTCGCTCGCTCGGGCCACACTTATGGCGCGTTTCCACTGCACTCGGCCTCGCTCGGTTTGGTTAGGCCTTATTAGGACCGGCTCACTTTAATGCTGCGCTTCCATTACAGTTTAGGAACTGGGGCAGTTACTATAGTAACGCAGTGTAGGCGGAGCCGTGACGTCATCTTCAACGAGAGCCCCGGAAAAACAACACAGCCGTTAGCTCTTAGCACTCAGAGCTCACAGCTCCTCATATCTGTTCAGAAACTAGATAAAAGTTAAACAAGTACAAACCACAGACTGCCTGTGTCATGGTGAATACAGTCGCTGGTTTATTTATGTCTGTATAGGCCGTTGTTGTGAGTGTGAACGGTCGGAGCATATATAACGTTAGCTTAGCCAAGCTCCATTTAGAAAACACGCATTTTAAAAGGGTTTTTCGCCTGCCGTCTGTCTGCAGACTTGTCAAAGCATTAATTCATGGTTTTTACTAACCGGTATCAGTATGTTGTTACTTCGGGCATCATTTTTGAAACGTGTATTACAATTAAATCACGGTCAAATATGTCTTGTTGTAGTTGTAGCCCCCTTGCCAGCGATTCTCTCTCTAGTTTAGCATACTCAGCCCGACTCAGCCTGGTTGTTCCTGGCCCTAGAACCACGATTTAGTCGGGCCAGAAAAAAGGTGAAAAAGTAGCCCCGGGCCAAAACTAGGCCAAGTGGAAACGCAACCAAAAACGGGCCACGCACGGCTCGGCACGCTTAAAGCAGCGTGCGTTGAAAGCTTCACCATTCACTTTGAATGGGGTGACGTCACTTTGCTGGCGTGGCTCGCTGCAAAAGTTGAGCAATGTTCAAGTTTTGAAGCCACGGCAGAAGCGTCAGCCAATCGAATCATATGCCAGTACAAGCTCTAGCCAATCAAACCGCTGCTTGTATGTCAGGGGCGGGAGATTCATGTGATTGGTTGTTGGTCGAGTTTCAGACACGCCCGCCGGCAAGCTTCAACGCACGCCGCTGTGTGGACGGGCCGTTAGAGTTGTACTCTAGTAATGTGTGCTCTAAGTGCACCAGATTGAAGCATTTTACTTTAAATATTCAAACATTTCTTCCCGGGGGGGCATACCCCCGGACCCCCCTAGAGGATGTGATATCCTCACCCCTATTAAAACATGTTCATATAATACTGAATACATTTGAAGCCTTTGATGTATATGACTTATGTCAATACGTTTCTGTTTTTGTAGTGCATTGGTCTTTTGTAGAGATTTTTCATTTATTTTTTATATATTCTATTGTGTATTCCTTGGATACTTTTATTTGTTCTACTGTACGATTTTCTGGCAGGGGGGGGCGCCAGCAAAAATCTCGCCTAGGGCAGCAAATTGGTTAGAACCGGCCCTGATGGTGTAGGAAACGGGCTCCGTGTTACAAGACGGGTCGGGGGTTTGGCGGTACCACTGCAGACTCTCTGCACACACACACACACCGCTGCAGACTCTCTGCACGAAGGAGCCACGGTGCTGCAGCTCCTGATCGGAACGTTCACTAAGCGGAAAAACGATATCCTGTCACAGAGATCTGCTATTTTAAATTGTAAAGTCAACACATATCGACCCCTAAATAAAGTCTATATTAAGAACGAGAGATGTTTTCCCCGGACAGCCCTGGACAGCCCCGGCCCAATTTAACCCCTGGTTAGAGGCCCTATTTTATCAGTATGTCTGGACTGCACAGCAGTTACAATGGTCAAACTACATTAGAACAGAATTGTCCCCATTTTGTCTTTAATAGTTACTAACATTGGATATTTTAATGAGATATGGACCGCAAAACAAAAAATTTCCCTGATTTTCATTTTTGAAATTAAGTCACCGAATGCAAGTAGTCGCCTTAGTTTATTTTGTTATGAGATGTGAATTACTGTTCAATTTAGTTGATGTAATAATCATTTGGTTTCTTTTACATTAAAAAAAGGTCTTATGTTTTTTTTTTTCGGGGGGAGGACCTTTTTCCAGTTTAGAGCAATAGCCCCTCCAAATGTCTGTGCACGTCCCTGGATAGGTGTGTGGGCTGTCTTTCATTTTGACACAAAGAACAATGGGGCCTATCCACCCTTATCCACAATGTAAAGTAATTCACACAGCCTCTTCCCTCTTCTTTCTGTGAGGTTCTGCAGGTTCAGCTTTCAGAACAAAGTAACAAAAAACTAAAATGGCATTCATTTTTTCAATATGTCGTGTAGTAATAGATTTATTTATTTTTCTTCTCAAGAGAGTACCAGAATGTGTATTTTATGTTAGTAGCCTATTTCAAAACTAAAACAAAAAAAATCTCCTGGGGGCGATTCCCCCCAGACCCCCCCTGCAGGGGTTGGGTTTTCAGCATGTCAACTCTTTCACCTGTGGGGAAATTGCAGGATTAGCTCCAGGTCGCCCTTTTTATTTACTACAAGACAAATGTGCCTTTTTATTTCATACAGTTCAATTTGGATTGAGACAGGGAAATAATCGAAACCTCACGCGTGGCGTTTCACTGTCAAGGGGAGCGTGTATGTAATTACATTGCAAATACTGACATGAGCCCCACCACTGTATGGGTTAGCCCTACCATAGATTACCCAACAAAAATACTCTCTCGCAACTGCCAACCCGTATTGCGCATGCTCAGATCTAAGAACCAGTAGAAATGATAAAAAAGTAAAAGTCTGCTGCTTATTGTTCTACTAGGCCAAAATAGAGTCAAAGAGTATATGAGAGTGAGTGTGTTAATTAATATATTTGGCAGTTTGGAGTAAGTCTGTAGATTTGTTTGTGTGTGTGTGTTTCATGTATAGCTCTCACGATAATTAATTTTGTTGGATACATTTTCCCGGAAATTATTGCGATAAACGATAATATTGTCGGCACCGTTGTATGACCATTTTAGACCACTGACATAATGATAATATATAATAATAATTCAAGTACATCCTTTCAAACTGCTAGTCACATCCTCATGTAAATGGCAATTTATCGAGTGCATTTTTATTTATCGTACGATACGTCAATTAATTGCTTATCGCGACAGGCACACAATAAAACAGTGGAAACAAACATGTGTTTGACTTTCATTAGTGAATGAAACTTTGTGCCTTTTATAGTCTGTGTCCAATATTGTGTATTTGTATATATTGTATATATATCCTATAGGCTATATAGGCTATGCTAAGGTCCTGCTGCTGACACGATAGCAGTCATTTCGTGCGCATATGTAATTAAACCCATGATATCAAAATATCACTACAGCCAGGTACCCAAAGTTGGCAACCCTGATTTAAATAGTATGAGTAAATATATAATAAAACGTACTCCTCCCACACTGTAAATGTATTACATGAATAAAAGGTGTATACATTTAAAATGTTACTTAAGAAATTCTAGTTCTTTGTGAATCTTGATATTACCATGTAAAAAGTACGACAGTTAATTAAATATATTTTACTACACCAAAAAGTCATTTTTTTGAGTGTAGTGAATGGAAATGAGGAGTTTGTGATGACTCGGGGCGTTAAGAAAATTATTCTGAGAAAATGTACGGGCCTCAATATTGCTCTGCTGAAGCTGACTAAGCGAGCCAGCACAGGAGATTTTATCCAGCCTGTGTGTATGGACGTTAGCAAAGCCCAAAGCTTCCCTGTTGGAACTCAATGCTGGGTGGCAGGCTGGGATAAGGGCATCAAGAGCGGAGGTAAGCTTCTATGATGCTTTTTGCTCACTTAAAAATCTGTATTATTCAGTAGATCTTAATCTTCATCAATACATACTTTTTTCAGCCACTCAAAAAGCCGGCTTAGGCCTGCGGGATATAGAAACTCAAGTGGCAAGCTGTGGGACTGGGTCTGGTTCTGACAACATTTGCACTTATGCCATGAACCTTCAACAGGTAAATAAAGTTTTCAAATTTAGCAATCAGTTGTCCTTGTAATTGGACAGATGTTTTCAGTAACCCATTGATGATGATTCCTGTTTGTTTTTTTTGCAGGGGGATCATGGCGGCCCTCTGCAAGTCAGACTCCTCTTAGTTCCAGGTGGCCGTTGTATCCATGAGTGGAAATAAATCAGTCCGTGCTGACCTGCAGGTCTTTGCCAAAGCTTCAAGATTCAGCTCTTTCTTAAAGGAGACAGTTGGGGACATGCCGTCTCCAGCAACAGGAAATGCAGCAAGTTTCTCAATTTCATTAGTCCTCTCTCTCGCTGTCCCCGTTACCTCACTGTTTCTGGTGTTAGGATGTTAGTACTGTTGTGAAGTAGTTCATTGTTGCACTTAAAAGTTGAACAAATCATACATGGCTAAAATGCATGATCTGTTTGGTATTTTGAAAACAGAAACGTATAAATATAACTTATATAGGTATGGCCCTACAATATATCATTTAAATATAGCATGATAGGTGTCCTTTAAGATACTAAGGTCACTTGTCCAAAGAAGTTAATATATTTATAACAAAAAATATATTTTATCGTAGTATGATACAGGGAAATGTATTTTTTATAACGTACCTCGCTGAATCCAGTTAAATTAAGGACAACTTTGAAGTTCTAATATATTCTATATGCCGCTCTACCTCTTGTGTCTTTCTACATGAAAATGTGGTGATGGGTCATGTGTGAGTTTACTAAAATGTTAAGACAAGTAAAAAGTCATTTTAATCACATGCATAATAAATACTGATGAAGCTTAACAAACATACTTCGATCAATATTGCAGTTTCAATATCCGCAGTTTAACAGTACAATATGTGATGAACAACAGAATCCAGGGGATCATAATGTTCAAAATCAACATTAACAACAGCACAGCTTGCAGAAATATAAAAGGAATGTTTCATTTTAGACTTAAGACTTTTTGGATAACACAAATCTCATTTTGTAAAGCCTCTTGTCACATTAAATCACATGGCTGTACAGTGCACTAAATTCCACCCCGCCATTGAATTTAATCATTGCATGACTATGACTTTTTGATGTGGTTTTCACCCCTTAATAAGAACCGATGTCTACTTGTAATTGTTACATGGTGCATGTTAATATATCAGGGACCTTTGCTAATTCAACTGTTACAATTTAAACGTGTAAGATTTTTTAAACTATATATACTTACAATTACCTCCTAAGTCTGATAATCATCAGAATGGTATGACAGATATTTCTTCCATAAATAACATTTACATTCCAGATAATACCAAAAAGTTAAAAAATAAAGCACAACTTTGAGTTACTTATGGTAACAGAAACTCACACATATACATACATGTTGAAACAGTTTGGTTTTGTTGCGGTCAGCTGCAACAAGCAAGCTCAATATTAAGAATGTATTAGAACTAAAACAGTGGGTCTCTGTGGGACATTCACTGATGATATATTTCTTATTCTGGTGCGGGTGCGCCTCCTTCAACCCCAGGATCTGCTGCATCATCGTTAATCATCTTATTGTATTTGCTCTTGAAAAATCCAGCCTGAAAGTACGAAACAAATAACGTTACATAAAAAGATGCAATATAAATGAATGAACAGATAATACACTTTATTTGTATAGCACCTTTCATACACAAAGCAGCCCAAAGTGCTTTACAGAAAACACAACAACAATATTAAAATAATATTAAAATGAATACAGAACAAGATAAAACATCTACAGTGATAATATGTTAAAACAATTTAAAAAAATGTGTTTTAAATAAAAGCAAAACAGAAAAGAAATACAGTAAAACATGGACAATGATACTAGTGACAATTGAAAGCTAACCCAAATTAAAAGCCATATTAAAAAGATAGGTTTTTAATTTGCTTTTAAACATTTCAAGGGAGTTTGCTGTTCTAAGATCCGTTTTTTAAATGTGCGTATTTATTTTAAATGTGCGCACAGGTTAAAATACCACAACTCAAAATGGCCTGGTTGCATAATAATCTGAAACTATGTTCAGGGTCTCACCTTATACAGGCCAGCGGTGAGTAAGGCCAGTAGAGCCAGTCCTCCCAGGGATCCTCCCACAATCTCTTTGGTGAAGTCTGGCTCAGGATACACTTCTACCTCTGCCTCAATCTGAGAGGGGAAAAGTCGGTTAAATTCAAGCTTGTTTAAAACACACATCATTTTAAAAGATAAAACGTGTAGTCACCTTGCGAACAGGAGGGTTGTTGTTGGAGCCCGACGTAAAGAAGATGTACTGGTTTCTGTCGTACTCCAACATGGCTGTGCTGGTCAAGAGGAATTTGGCAGATTGAAGTCCGATCTGTTTAGGGGAAAACATTTGTTAGTAAAATACTGATTGTGGAATAATTTTACCTCAGTTTAGCCAGCAACAGTAATTAAATGTGGATCAAATCGTTTGGGACGATCGTTCCTGTAAAAAATGCGGTTCAGTAATCAAGTAGTCGGTTTTACATTTTGAATATTTTCATACAATATATGGAAGGTTTTTTCTATATATTAATATAACACAGTATTAGGAATTGAGAGACATGCACCGCCAAGATGGCTTATGAGCTTATTTGCACAACCCTAATTATATTTTGACATAAAGTAAACTATCTTTATATACACAATTATTTTTACTACAGCGTATTTGAGTTATACACAGTACATTAGTTTAATTTCTTTGGTAATTTAAAAGCATTTGTAACAGTCTCAAAAAACGTCAATAGTGAAGCAATCACTTAGTTCATATTCATTTCATAACGTCAAGTAAACAATAAATAAAATACTTTTTTAAATGAATAATTATCTGCTTTTAGTAATCCTCTTTTATACCTGGTCAGATGTGATACTATAAGATGTTTCAAATGCAGCACGTAAAATAAACAAGTCAGTTAGTTTATTATTATTCACATTACATTAACATTATTACCTGCTCTATCCATGCCGAACTAAGGTTTGCAGAAATGTAGTACGTTTGGCTCTTCAGTCTTCCAATGAAGTGACTGCACTTGAACACTCTGCAGCTGGCCACTGAGCAGTCCTGTGGGTCATTCAAATAAAACAGAGAGCAGAGAAAGCTGTGTTCAGGCCTGCACACTCCAGTGGAATGAAACCATAGTAGTTATATCAATCTAAAACGTTGCAATTACTCATAAAGCGCATACTTACCACCAACTTATTTTTCTTTATCTCTGCAACAAAATCTGTGACAGTGGGTTTTTCATCGCTGTGTCTTTGGCAGTCTGGAATCTGAAATGGAGCCGATTTATGGTGTATTAGTTGCATTATTGATATTTGTCCATGTAGATTTAGCAAATGGAGCTGCTGTGATACAAGTCAAAAGTCAGACTTGATCTGTTAAAGTATTATTGTATCGTATAAAATACTCTATTTTTGATAGATATTTGGGGGTTCAAGGACAAGAAGTTTCCGTGTTACCTGCAAACTGCCTGAATCCACCCAGATGCCTTTATCTCCGAGCTTCACCGGCACCCTGATCACCACAGTGAGATTCAGCGCTCTGATATCATTTGTAACCTAAAAGAAGAGCAGAATAGAAAACATGGTAGGCATCAAATCATTGTGATGAGCATTAAGGAAAAGTCTGGATTAAAGTTTATGATTTCAAATAGATAACTTGTATTATTATAACATATTTTTACCACAATTGATTGCCGCAATGGTTTCTGCAAATTATTCTTTCCATGAGAGAAGTTGCTGTAGCTGAGGGAACTAAACAGACGCATTAAACATTTGATAGATATTAGGTAATAAAATGCCAGTTTTTTAAATAATATCTTTAGTTTCACATAAAACAACACAAACCTTTCAATTGTAGCAAAAATGCTGTACTTCACATCGATTTCTTTCTTTTGGTACAGTTCACTTGAGTCGGAGTGCTGATTATTCCCACTAGAGAAAGAGAAAAATATATGTGTACAAATTATAAAAGCACTAATGCACACATGCCTGTTGGTGTGCTTATAATGCATGTTGCTTAGCAGTACCTGGTAGCATTTGCAGAAACAAAAATCCTCCTTTCAAGTTGACTATTGGTTTCAACCCCATAGGAGACGATGAATAGGACCTGAAATGACATGAATTAAGATCAGATAGCCTATTCTGTGTCTGTAGCAGTACAATACTCGGTACAAAAGACAAACCTTAGCATTGCTCTTCAAAATAGGCTTGTCAACTGTGCAGTCTGTTCTTCCTCGCATTAAACCGTCTTCAGTGTCCAAGGAGTTGCACTCAATTCTTCCCTGAAGTTCAAAATAATTGAAGAAAATCGCAAAATTAAGTGAGAATGGGATGACTGGAGATTAAATGAAGCAGATTTAATTTGGATGCCTTACCTGCAGAATTGTAAACTTCCTATAAGAGAGTCCAGCTGGGTATGTGAGAATGACGCGGCTGTTATAAGAGTTTTCCCCACTGTTCTCCACGGAGACAGTGACATCCAGCAGTTCATCAATGCCCACTTTGACCTCTGAGGATCTGACAGATTATAAAGAAAAATGAAGGTAGATTACATTACGTTAAGGTGCGTTCCAATAATCATATTACAACTATATGTGTCAATACATGGTAGGCTAATTGTCAAATGCAGCATGCCAAAAATAGCAGGATGTCATACTGCATCTGGTAGCATTTAGCAGTGAGCAGCATACTTTTCTGGCTATCCTGACCCAGACCCAAGAGGGTTCAAAAAGTTTGTATTTGAAAGCATAGTGCATTCAACAGTACTTTGTACAGGCAGCTACATTAATTACTTAAGTCAAAAGGCATGCTGTTTGAAGCAGCCAAGAGTCTACAGCTACAGTATGCTAGCAGCTCTGTGAAGCTGAGGCACAGCAATACCTAGAGCTAATAGCTAACAGCGTTATGTTTACCGTCTTATTTTGTCATGTTACCGTGCTACCATATTTTAATTAGCACAGGACAGCACATTGGCTTGCTGTTAAGAATAAAAAAAGATTATTTTTTTCCATTTTTATCTGAAGATGGCGCTAGAAGAAGGATCACAGAGGTGATTACATTTCATCCTGTCATTGAGGCATTTCAAGTAAAAGCCTCAAGATGGTGCAAAAGGGACGATCATGAGAGTAAACCTCTGGGAACCATGGATGTCTGTACAAATTCTGGTGTGAATCCATATAGTTCTAAACTTGACCTGTTAATGGCAGTAGATGAAAAGTGAGGGGATCACCAAAGTCATCAAGATTAATTGTATTTATTATGCGACAAGACATCTATTAGATCCATTCGTTTTTTCTTTCAGCAAAGAACATCTGAAATATCTCTGCTGTGTATAACCCAAACATAAAACAAAAATTGTTAGTTTGCACTCCTTACACTTGCAGAAAACACCAAAGTTAAGCTAAACGTTTGTAACTCACTTGGTAAAGTTGAAATCCACTTTCATGTTATCTACACACACATTGTCCGTGCCGCAGTTGATCTCAAACCCTAACTGTGGAAGAGAGAATGAAGTAAAACACGTTTGTTTAGAAAGATTAGACACCACATTTAAAAGTCTGACATCCATGAAATAACAATTGACTGGTGTTAAGAAGGACACTGAAGCATTGTTGAAGTAATATTCTGACAAGATGATGAAGACCATGTGTAAGACGTGTTAGCATCCCTTTACTTACGCGATGAAACGTTGTCGTCTGAGCCTGCAGGGCGAGACTCGGCCTGAGCATTTGGGCAGACGGCAATCCTTCAAAGGTGAATTTGAGTTCATTGTCCAGCGCATTGAGAGAATCTTCTGGACAAGCCTGCAAGACAAGGGCACTATTATGAAATGTTTTTTGTCAATGCAGCGTGGGTTGAACTCATAGGCATCAAACATGGCATTTGTCCGCATTTTGTATTTCTAACAACTCACCTCAACTAAGAATTGTTCGGTGTTGCATGTCGGCCCAGTCAAGCCGAGAGAAATGTTTCTAGACACCTCTCGTTGTTTCCCAGCAACGTAAGCTCGGTTGTTTGGGACTTTGCGGGTGGCATCCAGTGTTAAAACATAATTAATCTTTGCTTGAGCTGTAAACGATCAGAATTTAATTTAGAGTTTATTCATGTTAACAGTTATTTAAATGCATGGAAAGGGGGAGTATGGGATACCTTGCTGGACTTCAGAGTGCATTGTCATGCGGAAGCAGATTGTAGCTAGGATTGCCAAAGGTTTTGTGCAGTCTGAGTTTTGAGTAGAGATTTGGCTTGGGCCGAACGACACTCTTGCTTCTACCATTACTATAGGCTTTGATCTGGGAAATTGAAGGAGCAGGAAAACATAGTTGGATAACTTCCGTCTTTCTCATCAATAGTCCAGCAAATCATATCTTAACTGCCTGATACAAACCATTACTGGTGAAGAGCTAACATGTGTACCAAGAGGCTTAACTCATCTTTGCAGTAGAATTACACTTACCTGAGTAAGACAACACTGCCCTTTGAACCCACCGCTAAATCGGGCAGATTGTCACTACTTTGGTCAAAAGACGACTGACTGATCGACATGCCGAAGAACTTTAGTCCTGGCTTGACTTCAGAGGCAGCGATCCTCTAAATAAATGGAAACATTTTGATTAGTTTTTGATATGGTGTAAGCCACAACTACTGGGTCATGTTTCTCGCTCACCTGTGTGTAGGTAGAACTGATCCTTTTCCTTCTTCCATCTTCGCCGTGGAAAATGTAGATGCTGCCTTGACCGTCGTTCTCCAAAGGCGCTCCAACTGCCAAATCACTAAGACCATCTGTGTCCAGATCTGGCAGTACAGCAAGGGAAGACCCAAACCTTCCTCTTTGAGATGCATCCCCTCTCAGTACTGATGGAGAATCTAAGTGGCACTCAACATCCTGGTAGAAATATAGGAATGAGTGTCAATGTTTGCATTGTATTTAAAGAAACCGATTAATTCAATGGCACCAGATGAAACTGTCATTTACCAAACGAGATACGGTGCAAACGTAAACCCTTCCCTCTCGATCAGAGTCAATGTACATTGGGGCGGATATGAGGATAAGATCAGAGTAACTGTCTTGATTCACGTCCATCGCACAAACAACGGCACCAAAATATTCACCAACCTGAAACTGTGAAAGCAACAAATACATACATAAAACAAGAGATTGCTTTTTTTCAGGACTGTTGGATCATTTTGAAAGATAAGCACATACCTGCCATCGAGAGGGGTCAATAGTTTTGTGGTTCAGGTGGTTGTAAACTACCCTCACAACTCCTCGGTGTTTATATCTTGGAGCACCCATAATTGTCAATGTGCCTCTTGTCGTCCTGGCAACAGCCATGGAGTACCCTGAAATTAAAGCTCATTGGTCAAAAGTCTGAGAAAACTGTCTATTTTTGCAGATCTTAGTTTTTTTTAACTACCACTGCAGAAAATGAATATGAACAATGCATTATTTAGAAAATATTGATCTCTACATAAAAATACTTAATTTAGATAGAGATCACCAGATTCAAAATTATAATCTTTAAACTAGAAAGTATCATACATACAGATACTTTATTATCAGCTTCCGTTAAGACATTTGGAAAAACATAATACTGACTTTTTCTGACTGATATTGCTTATGAACAACAATAATATTAATAACTTAACAACAGAGAGGACACACATTTGCAGTGGAGCAGTACAAGTACAAGATGTACATTTTGAATTTGTATTTATATATATATATATATATAATAAATCAGGGTTTCCGCTAGGATTTTTTCTCGCCGGTCAAATGTCCGGGCAGAATTTATTTTACCGGACACATTTGAAAATTACCGGTCATATTTCAATAATAATAATAAGAGTTGTGTAGCAGGGTTTCCGTTAGCAGGTAATTACCGGACTATGAGCAGATATGCTTCAGTTTAAAACTCAGTTCACGGGGCTCATTTTTATATTGCTTCAGTTTATAATCGTAACAGATCGAAAAATTCAGATTCATTTTTCAATAAATTATTCCACAAACAACAAACAACATAATTATTACATTCAAACAAACTACTTGTAGTAGATAACGTACATTATTCAAAAGTTTACATTAACTTTGAATAATAACACGGGAGACACGGATCCTCTCTTTTCCCCTCTCCCTCCCTCTCTCCTGACAGCCCGTCAGTTTCTCATGCAGCTCCTGCAGCTCGCTAAACAGAGGGCGGGGCTTCAGGTGATCATGCAGAGCTGCGTGTCTCGGTCAGACTCAGCAGCTGATCTGATCTCTCTCGCGTGTCCGGTTATACTTCACTCGCGTTTATGTCCATATCGATCAGATCCAGCTCTCCTGATCGGCCTTTATAGAGAGCACCGATCAAACTATTAAGAGTGAATATCGGCCGATAATGACCGGCGGCCGATCTATCGGAGCCTCCCTAATTATTACCAGACATTTTGACCGGCGGGTTTTGAATTTACCGGTTTTTAATAAATGTTACCAGCTAAAAACCGGTAATTACCGGCTAACGGAAACCCTGATATATATATGTGTGTATATGTATTTAACTTACCCATGTAACTGTCTTCCTCTATATTGGCCTCAAATGAGCCTGTCTTCTGGAGTGTGCCCATTGAGTATTGCAGGTAGCCTCCCTTCCACACATTCGCCCCAACCATACCGATCTGAACTCCCTTCAATTCAAACAGATGTTAAATTAAACAGGCTTTCCAAAAAAAAACATTCCACTATTTGCTAAACTTATTGAATGAAGTTAAAGAAGTAGTAAGTAACTTGTGTCCCAAACATCTCCCAAAGAACATGATGCATATTCTGCTTTCTATCAACATACGCTGATACAAAGAGGTACAAAGATACAAAGACGTGTTCATCTATGTGTTTGCATTGTCCAGTGAATTTCAAGCGTGCTTTTTTATTACCTCAGGTACATAAACTGCACTGAATCCCTCTTGAGCCATTTCCATTTTCAGTGACTCTCCATCTGTTTGCGATCCTGTAATGGAAATAATACATGAATTGGCACAATGACCTCTCAATGCCGCATCATTCAATGGTCATGTCCTGATACCTACTTATATACAGTGTAATTCAAAAGAGCAGATTCATTACAAATCAAAGTCCCTGCTTTGACTGAAATTGTATGCAGGTTGACATTTCAAAGACATTTTCACCATCATAAGTTTACCTTCAATAGCAAAGAGTTTGGCCTGCAAACTCGCCCTTATTTTTTCAAGGGCGTCAAAGTTCTGCACTCGAAAAACATTTTCCGTGGGAGAAGATGAAATAGTATCCAGTTCCCGTTTTGCTGCAGATGTGTCAAATGCGGACCCCACCTGGAGATGTTAAAAACAAAGGTTTGAGATATTGTGCTGCGCCAAAGAGTGGATCACAATTTAATCCCAGAGTGGAACTGAAGAACTTACTCCAATAGCAAATCGAACAATGTTGTTTCTCTCAGCTAAGTCTGCTGAAGATTTGAGATTAGCCCGGTCGTTTGATTCTCCATCGGTGATAACTATCAAGACCTTTTTTGCATTGGGTCTGGAACCCCGTGTTCTTGTGAAAACTTCATTGCTGTCAAAAGAAAGATGCAATTTCAATACATGTTTGCATTATGTAGTATCAAATGTTAAATTGGGACAGCACAATGCCTTACTTTTAACAATTTACACAGAAGATGTCAGTTTCGGACAATTTATTTTAATGCAGGAATACTGACCTAATAATCATCATCATCAATTACTATTTAGCTTTGAGAAATGTAAAAATTGCTATCTGTTTTTTTAATCTTTTAGGATTTGGATTACTATTTTAGTTGCAGGACTTTTTTTAAATACGTATACTGTAAATGTGATTGAACAAAATTACAGTAACTTGATAAAAAAAGGTTCAGACTCATCATCTGTAAAGAGTTAAAAGGTGTTATACCTATAATACTTTTTTACTTTTACTAGATGAATCACCAAAGATACCTGCTGTTTTGTCTGCCCCAATAAACACTGCCACTAAAATGTGCAAAAGTTGCAAAATGTTTAAACACATAGCTACTCTAACGTGTTTGTAGGTCCAAATTAAGAAATGTTTTTATTTTTCCATCACACAATTCAAAATGCCTAAACCAATTGATGCTTTGACAGACTCAATACATTTTTACAATAAAAGAAAATGAATTCTGAAAAACATTGCTCACAAATGGGAATTCAACATAATGATGACACTTACACCACAAACTTGATGGCTTTGGCTGTGTAAGTGGAACCACTGAGTTGCCTAATGTTGTCAACTTTAGATTGCCATAATTGAGTTCCAGATATGAAATTATTAAAGTAATAATGTACTTTAGGGTAAGTAGAGAACTGGGAAATAGAAAACTGGGAAAATGGGAAAAACAAAAATTCAAGTTAATATCACAGTCAACACTCACATTTTAAAATGTACCTGTCAAATCTCTTGTAGAAATTATTAAGAATGGTTTTAAACTCTGAAAATTACTTCTCTGATTTTGTCAGGTCAGTGTAAACATAAACTTACCCTTGTGTCAAGTGGCAGGAGTGAGTCGACAACATTTTTCACAAATCTCTTCATTAATTGAAAGTCCTGATTGGGGACGCTGCCTGAACCATCCAATAGAAATGCAATATCTGCTAATCGGCACTCTGTCAAAGAGATTTCAACCAATTTAAAAGTGAGTTGAATTTTTTTTTATTACATTAAGTCAGATAAAAGCAGCAAACTGGGGCCCTATTTAATGTATAATAAGCTCTTTATCTTTCTCATAGTGCCTGTGCTGCAGCACCTATTTTCACCCTCTGTCTGAAACCAGAGCCCAGTCTGCTCTGATTGGTTAGCTGGCCAGCTCTGTTGTGATTGGTCAGCGGCGTAGAGATGTCCCGACCCTTAGCCTATCATGTAAAATGTGTTGGAGCGCTAGCCAATAGAAGCGTGGATGTTACATAGTGATGTCATGATGTAACAGAAGTAAACAAAGGAGTCCAATGGAGGTGTTTCAGGCAGGGGGGGGAGTTAGTCGGAGAGAGAAACTTCCTCTGGAGAAAATTGCGGATTTTAGCCTTTGCAGACCATTTACATGCACACAAACCTATAACACTACAGGAAATAGAAAAAACCCCAAAAGCCTAATAGGGCCCCTTTAAATAATACATTACTATAGGCTCATATAGGAACTTGTCTTTTGGCCTGTGCTGAAATTGCAGATAGCCTTCTTTCCACTCATCACTACCAAAACGGCTCTCTCAATTCACCTTTAAAATTACACTATGTCATGTTCTGCCACTAGGGGTCTCTTACTCAAAACAATTACAAAAGCTTAACAGCTAATCATGGAAGTCTGTCATTTCAGTCTTTCTCCTGTTTAGGATTTTATTGTTCAGGAGGTTTTTACCAGAAGCTGTATTATCCACAGAGGTCTCCTCCTCTCCAAAACAAACATACCCAATGAGTAAATCTGATAAACCCACTGAATAAATCCAGCTTTTTAAATAAAATCTATGTTTCTTGGGTGGAAGCATGAGGGGCTACAAGCTAAAGGCTAACATTAGCTCCACTTGTTTTTGCTGTTAACTAAAGATTTAGATGCCAATGACCAACACAGTTAGGGCTAGCGGTAAAGGCGTTGTAGTTTGTTTTTGTAATGTGTCGAGTTTGTCCAAGTTTCCTAGTATGCACCGTGACAGGTACAGTATGCTACACCCATAAAATGTAGGAGTTTATTTTTGTTTTATTCTTATATGTACATTACAACCATTGTATGTGTAATTATGAGCGTGTCTGCTGACATCATAAAGGAAACAGACCTTACATCTGAATAAGTGATTTATAAATATCTGTTCCCATGATATTAATGGCAGTGTACTAACAATACTTCCATGATTTGTTCTTGTCTTTCATTAACCTGTTTTCAACATAGTTTATGGGTACATGTCCGTTTTCATGCAGGAAAAAGGATGAATTAAGGGCTCAACACTTTAGAAAAGCCTCTTGGTAAGTTACTACAACGCAACGATTCCTATGCAAGTCTTAGTGTGTCCGTATTTATTATTCCATATTTACTTTGTGCAGTAGAAGGTACAGGACCTGTGAAGCCATTAGATCTGTCTATCTGCATGCATATACCGCTGTACATGGTGATACTTTTGCAGTCTCTTGGAATGGTTGGTCCACATGCCTGAAAGAGACAAAGTCCTGAATGATGAGTATTATGTTGCTATCGGTGCTGTCCTTTAATGAAATGTAAAGCAGAGAAAAAAAATATTTAACTGGTAGAATGACAAATAATAAGGATTTTCAGTTTACTTGCTCACCAAAGTGTTGTGTGTGGTTGGATCATGTGTCATTGTTAAACCAAGAGACATGTTGACGGCAAATCCTGGCACTGCATTGAAAAAGTCATGTTGAAAAAATATAATTGATCAACACAACAACAGCCTCAGTCACAAGTCACAACTACAAACCCTTGCTGTCTCATGGAGAGACCACACACACACACACACACACACACACACACACACACACACACACACACACACACACACACACACAACAACACAGACTATAACACCCCTTGCTGTTAAATACCAACCATACATGCAATATGTATATATATATATATGCCGTTAATAACTGTGCAATATATACCTGGCTGCTAAATACTAAAAACTGTTACAGGATGTGTATTTTCTAAATTGTGTAACTTTGAATTTTTTATTATATTTGTTATTATATCATAACTTTTTGTTAACTTTGTACTTTTTAATGCATGTAACATAACATTAAGCTGGCTGTGGCTCTTGTTCTGCTGTAACAACGCACATTTCCCCTCTAATGAAGGTATTCTGATTCTGATTCTGAAACCTCAGCAAAACTCCTTCCGGATCAAGCAGAAAATAGAATTTGAGAGAAAATAAATATTTTCTCTCAAATTCTATGTTTTGCTTGATGACTTCTTCATCTTTTTCAGAAAAACTGGATGAAAAACTGCTTTTGAGATTCAATAACCAACCTTTTGTTTCTTGTTATTCATTTGTGTAAACAGGCAATGAGAATTACTTGAGTTTAATATTTATGAAGCGTTTGGATAGTTTCTTACCTGGAATTGGTAGAGGACTGCATGATTCAGTTTCGGCGGAGCATTTAAATATTTTCCCCCTTTCTGTGGGAGACGACTGTGCAAGAGGAGCACTGACCAGCAAGCTGAGGAAACACAAGCAGACAGACAAGTAACTGAGCAGTGTAGCTAAATGGGAAAACATTTAAAATGCTACTTGAGATTTAGCATTAGTGTGAGATACACACGATGGAAAAGCTAGAACACATTCTGCCTTATAGACCCATGTTCCACAACAACATCCATGCTTTGACTTACTCTGATGGCCTCTGCACCACCTGGTACCCAAAACCTTCGTCAGAGTACTTCAGGATCTTCCAAGCCACAGGATCGATGTTGAAACAAAGTGCAGCTTTTAACACTGAGGAACGAGAAGAAAAAAGAACAACGAAATCAAAGCCACTAAATGAAGAATGTTAATGTGACATTAACACTTGTTTTGCATATAGCTAATAGAAACATGTATTGTATGTGCTGCTTTCCAAGACGTTGAGGCCGGTATGGTCTCAAAACCACTTTTTTAACATTTTGATGCATGTTGGACTCTGAATTGTCTTAGTCTTGAGTTTTACGTAGAGGAAGGAAGTGTTTTTGGTCATTGACCTTCATTTAACATTGCTACATTTTCTATTTATACCTATGTTGCAACTAGTCTGTTGCCTGCATTTACAGTAACAGGCTGTGATCAGTGATCACGTGTGGGTGTGATTATGCAGGAAATCAATGGAATAACATCATCATAATCAGGACACTAGGACTCGGTATGCTCTCACTCTTTCCTCAGATTCGACTGGACCTATTTCTTCAACTTTGACTTGATTAAGTTGGTCTTGACTAAAGCTCGGCTGCCTTTAGTAGCCTAAATGTAAAAGTGATGTGGATTTATATCTGCTATGTTAAAAAACAAAAACCACCAGGGAGCGTCAGTATCATACATTTACAAATAAATTCAACTTCAAAAGTAAAGATCAAGACACAAAGAAATGATTTATGTTTAAAAATATAATTTCTACATGAGCAGAAAATGAAGTAACCCTTGCTCTGTGTGAGTTATAGTCACATTTAGAGGACCTTAAATTGTAGTTCAATACTGTTTAAAATAAATAACTGACACTACCTCCTAGAGACTACAGTATAGTGCAATCTATGAGGTCTATATTTCATTTTGACCCTTAATTACATTTCCTGACTTCGACAGATTTGCGTTGCACAAATGAAGTCTTCCGTTTTTCCTTTTTTGGCCACAACATGAGGTTTTCTGTACAATTGTACTCACTGGCGTATTACTTCCTCATGGTTTCTCAAGTTTACAAGAGATGAATATAAATAGAAACAATGTGTTGAACTACTTTAACTTCTCTGATCTTATACATGTGTTAAAGGTGGGGTAGGTAATTTTGGAGAAACCTGCTCGAGTCTAGAATGTGAAAATAGACCACCGGAGAAAATCTGCCACTTCCTTACAGAGCCCCTCCTCCAACACACACGAACGCGCACATGACCAATGAGGGCATGAGATAAATTTGTGCACAGATGGAAGGCTGACAGGCAGGTAGGCCATCCAATCATTTTAGCCGGGCTAAAATGATTGGTCGTGCTTTTTACAGTACTACGGCTTCCACAGATGACATTTTTTAATGGATTTTTTTGTCAAAGCACTTAAGATATTCATTGCTATCGGGATGTTAAGAGCATTCCATGGAATATGACAAAAAGTGTATCTCGAGCCGGTTTCTCAAACTTACCTACCCCACCTTTAACTTCTCTGATGATCTTATACTTGTGTTAAACCTCAGGCTAACCCTAACCTCTTGATTATGATGTACATTCAAAAGTCTGACGAAATAACATCATAGTCTTGTTGTAATAGCTTCTAACCATAACCCATATCATTTGTATCAGATTGAATCACCATAAGTAAGGTTCTGCTTTTTCTTGTGACCACTACAGCCTTAGTAGGTAACAGCAGTCTTTGACTTCAGAATGACACAAATACTGCAATATATGTCATGCATTTCGGTTGTGTTAAAACACAGCATTGTGAGAGAACAGAAATTAATTTAGTGAATTAAAAATGTTAGATTGTCACTCAATAAATATAAACAGAACTCTCTATGTACCACCAGAAGCAGAAGCTGTCAGTAAAGTGGCAGCAGGAAGTGGCCCTGCCCTCCTACCCCCTGCTGAGAATGTAGTGTTGTTTTTATTGCATATTTTTATTCATATTTTGAATAATTTGCTCATATTATGTCTTGTCCTGCTTCTCATACCTTCCTGACTGAACTTCTAGCTCCAGTTTTAACAAATGGATACGTTGCTTGGACTTTTTGACTTCTGTTTTAACTGGTGGATTCATTGTGTTCCTTATTGAGCTGGACTGAAGTTTAAGCTTCTGTTTAACCTGCTTTTGTGAATTTATTTTCTGGTATTCTAGATTAAAAGCGTAGATAAATGTACACCTTTTATCTCAACCCCCCAAGTCATGTTAATTTATAAATGCATAATTAGACTTAGCAGCTTATAGGTCCAACTCATTGGTAAAAGTAACAAATAGCATAAAATGCTGTTTTTTTTTTTGCCTCTCATATTTCAAATGTCATGCTTTTCTCTGTTTTATATCATCAGATAAATATCTTTGGGTTTTGGACTAACAAAACAAGACACTTTAATACATAACAGTAGATTTTTAGGAACTGGGATGTGGCCATTTTAAAAGACTAAACGATTAGTTAATCTAAAAAGATTAGAGATAATGGAAATAATAACTATTAATGATGCCCTTTATTCATATAGGAGGTATTCATCATTTCACCCTGTTCACTTTTACTAATAACATAAATATTATGATAATACATTTCTATGATTTCAGCATGCTGTAGGAACATACCAATGTATTAAATGACAGGATTGTTTTAACAGCTGCCTTAAAGATCTATAAAGAGAGACACAATCAGAAAGTATAAATTTGTCTTACCTGACAAAAGTATGAAAATGATCCAGTCCATTGTGTTATTCCCATGGAAACACTAAATGTGTAAAATATTCTAAGCTCATAGACATTTATTGAAAACTTTTTTGCTTTCTGGCTGCCAAGTTCCAATTTGTACCACTGCAACTGTCAAGGAGGGGGATGTTGAAAGCAAAATGCAGAAATCACAAGGTTCAGCTCGGAGTAAGGCAGCCACTTAGAGGAACTCTTGTGTAGGAGGCGTTGCAGCATATATCTTTCTTTCAGTCTTTATTTCGAACAGATTAAAACATAACAAATAACAAATGTGAAAAACAGAATACCGTATTGTTATAATACAGTATTTATCCACATTCATGGTAATATTTGTACTGTATATTCAACAAAAAAACAAAAAATGTCTTCATATTAATAATAATAATAAATCACATGTGTCCGAAAGGGAGTAGGAGGAAGCAAATGCTTATTAATTCCCACCCCTTACTTGATCAATGATTGTCCTTTAAATCATTATGCAAGTTATTCCTACATACATTTACATTTATACATACATATATATATATATATATACATATTTTAATATGAGCACACCATATGTTGTCACTTGATTGCACTGTTTAATTTGATCCAGTCAATATCCACGCAATCTCACACCTACACACTTCTAAATGATCACCTATTTTTGTAACTTGGTAGAATAGTGTAGTGTATAATGATCCTTATTTGCATGCAAGGCTGATGAATAATAATTCAAATAAATAATTCACACCTTACCCTGTCCTTTAATGTGCTGCTAAATTATTTTAACAAAAAGACTTTTCAACAAACCTTGAACATAGTTTTATCACTTCAAATTGTATGAACATATCCACAGTAGCAAGAAGGCCTGTTCCTTCTTTCTAACAGAGCTGTTGCTGTTTATAAAATTTTCTCAGAGAGCATGAAGAGAGGAGGAAGTTACATTTCACACATCGTTCGACACATTTAATTCCTTATATGGCCCAACCTCACTGTGATCAATGCACAAACAGTGAATGTTTGCATAAGCTTACTCTCAAAAACCAAACTCAAAAATAAGAATGTCCATTTCTCCTTTTTGCATGACTTCCTCTGCACTGTCTGGTCCCTGTAAGCCTGTGTTCCAGTTTAATAAGTGCCTATGTATATACCTGTTCATATATGGATTTAAAAATAGACAGATTATTGTACATGGTGCCTACTGTGACATTAAAACCAATATGTTATGCACTATAACTTAGTCTCGACCTGCCAGACACATGATAAATGTAACTCAGATTATCTATTTCTATTAAAATAGCTTTGCGTGTTTACTCTTTTAGCTGACAGCCGGTTCAGGAAGTGAACCTCTTCCTGCCACTGACCACCAAAGATAAAGCCAAAAACGTTGACCTTTTTAATGGTGCAACATTTCGCATCCTTTTATATGTGTGACTTGTGCTCTGTGTCTACCTATCTGAAGGGATAAAATAAAACAGATATAAAGTGCTCTGCAACCTGACTATGTGCAACCTTTGCCAAGCTTGCCAGTTCACCCTTTCCTGTCGAGCAAGGGTGATCGGGAAAGGTCAGAGAAAGATCAAGGATCAGAGCACTGTGTCGCCGTGTCTGGATCTGATTTCTAAATTCAGGTTAGCAATGTTGTCACATGCTCTCTGTGTGAGACTGCATGTGTGCTGCACTTAAGTTATCTTGTGTTTCATCCACATACCCTTTGTAATGGCCTCTGGCTGCTGGGAGGCTTTTCTCAGATGAAACAGCACATTTGTATACAGAATGCCATAATCAATGCTACATACAATAACAATGCCTTAAACTACAATGCTCAGGGTGCCATTTGAGCATGGAAGAAGAAGCATGCTTTTGCCTGTGGATAACTCAGGAAATTAAGACTTTAAAGTAAAGCAATCTCTCTCAAATGTTCTGGTTATTGTTTCCTACCCATCTACCTGCACACTTTACCACATTTCTACTTGTTTATCCCTGTATACATCCCTCCCTTTCTTTGCCATTCACCGAAACACTCTTTGCCCTTTGACTGGCTGCTCACCACCATGTTACTCCAGCCCAAGTCACTCTGAATGTCACGAGCCATCTCTGGTTGCGTCCTGATCTTTTTATAGCCGGGCAGCTGAAATGTGAGGGGTCACAATGAGAGGATAAATACAAGGGCCAGCAGAGTGGAGGGTTGTCGCAGACGAACGCCGGATCTTCTCCCTCTTTTCTCTTCTCTCAGATCTCCTCCTAACCTCCAAGGTAAAACTAAACTAAACTGAAGGTTTCACACAAATATGAGATAAATGCAATGTTTTAATTGGCTTTTTGTGCAACCTGTTGATTTTTATTTCTTATAAAGCATGAAGTGCATGGCGTTTTCCCTTTTCTATGAAGGCTAAACATACTAAATGCGAGTCACATTTAACTCACAGTGATGTCCTCTTAACTAACTCTAAATTAAAAGATCTTTGTCGTGGCTTTTCTGAGACACTAAAAACGGGAAGTGTTATTAATAATACACTCAGTATTCTCCTTACTTCACAATACTGAGAAGTTTAGTTCGTCTTTTTCCGTGCATCACTGGTGGCTGCAACGCCCCTCTTTATCTGATGAAAACTTTCCACTGCATTGTGGTCAGAAGTGACTCACTAATCTTATTAAGCTCTTATTCAAAACTGTTTCAATTTTCCAGGCTGTCTTTTATTGTTCTTCCTTTACAGTACATGCCTGCTGAAAATAGGGTAGAGAAACTGAACGATTCTCTCTTATGTAATGCCTTCTGGCTGAGCCATGGTGCTTGATAAAGTACACTGTGTTTATATTTAGTCCAGTCAATTGATAGTGGAGGCACAGGCGAGGGGGATGGTGAACAGGAGGTGTGGGATAGAAGAGGGGGGGGGGATAGGGAATGGGAAAAGAAAGGTCAGGGATAAGAGGCTAGAAAATGGAATAGGTCACCCGCATTTTCAAGGGTGGTCAGATACAGTATGTGATGGGTGGGGTAGAGGAGGGCTCTCTGATACTGATCCCCTCTGCAGCTGCATATTGTGCTTGGGGAATAGTGCCTAGCCCCAGCTCATAAAGTATTTGGGTTACTGGAGCAGTTATAGCTGCAACAACTGCAGTCTCACGGTCGGGGCACCAGCATGTCTAATTTTATAGTCACCGAAGACAGACAGGAAAACATCAAAGCATGTTGTTAGGCCTTTACTGCACCGCTTCCTTCATATGGCCAACCAAAAGTTTTGCTTCCTTTCATGAAGCAGGTTCCAATGTATTTGCAAGTATAACCACAACCCCAAATGTCTGGTTTACACAGCTTGACATTTCGTTAAACGTTTCACCTTGCACATCTGCCTAGTGGAAGCCCGCTGACCTATCAGCCTTTTAATATTTTCTTAATTTCTCATTTTTTGTAATTCTCTCAGTCAGGATGCCTCACGCATACCCCTTCCTCACTCCTGAGCAGAAGAAGGAGCTCAGTGACATTGCTCACAAGATCGTCGCTACCGGCAAGGGTATCCTCGCCGCAGACGAGTCTACCGGTAAATCATTTTTTAAGAGAATGTACTTTTTATTGTTTAAAGGTCTCCTATCATGCACAAATTCCCTTTTTGATGTATTTTATACATAAATATGTGTCCCGATGTGTCAGGGAACTCACAAAGTGTCAAACAAAACCTTCTCTCTTTTCCTCCGTACCCAAATCTCTAAAAACGGGGGTACAACGGAGCTGATCCAGATTTTCTGCCGATATTACGTAATATCGGAAATGTGGGCTGGCTTTACGCTCACGGCCCTATCAGAAAAGTCGCTATCAGAAACAATGCGTGATGTGTTTTGGAAGTAATATGGTCTTTCTTTACATTAGCAAGTATGCTAACACTCAGAGCTAAGCTGTACTGGAGAGAGTATGTGTAAACAATCAGGATATAAAAAGGTACTCACCCACCTTGTGGTAAACCTGCAAGAGAAAAGCATTTGAGCCCCATGTTTTTTATATATTTTTATATATCTGAGACCCATAATATATGCCTAAAAATAGCATTGTAGGAGATCTTTAAAAGTCAATAAGAATGGGGAAAAACTGGTTCGATTATGACTTTGACATTTCTTAGAATTAAAACGTTTCTAATGCAAGTGCTCAAACAAACTGTAGTGAAGTGCTCAGATGGATCAAGCCTTCATTCATCATATTTTTCCTCATCCTCCAGGAAGCGTGGCCAAGCGTTTCCAGAGCATCAATGCTGAGAACACCGAGGAGAACAGGAGGCTGTACCGCCAGCTCCTCTTCACCGCTGATGAACGCATCAAGCCTTGCATTGGAGGCGTGATCCTCTTCCACGAGACCATGTACCAGAAGACCGACGACGGCAAGCCCTTCACCCAGTATCTCAAAGAGAGAGACATGGTGGTGGGCATCAAGGTCGACAAAGGTGTTGTCCCCCTGGCCGGAACCAACGGCGAGACAACCACCCAGGGTGAGCGAAGAACCGATAAACAACCAAAGAGTATTTACGTCTTTTGACACCTTTGTCTAACTTATCTGCTCTATCCTCCCTCTTTCGCAGGTCTTGATGGACTGTATGAGCGTTGCGCCCAGTACAAGAAGGATGGTGCTGACTTCGCCAAGTGGCGCTCTGTGCTGAAGATCACCCCCACCACTCCTTCCAGGCTGGCCATCATTGAGAATGCCAATGTCCTGGCCCGTTATGCCAGCATCTGCCAGATGGTAAGACACAACAGACAGACGTTGAAATCAGTGTAAGGTCTGGACAAGTTCCACGTTGGTTTTATAAGCTTCATTCTCAGTTATCAGTAGAAAAAAAAAATTCTTCTCAAAAGTCTATGTGGCTATGATGGATTTCACAATGGCCCCAAAGCTGCATTAAATGCTCTAATTGTATCATTAAAAACAATCTGCATTAGTCAGATCAGAAACATGTCGTCTCTAATGCCCTGTTTCCACTGCATGATATGTCTCGGATCTACTCTTTTTTTAAACTCAAATCATAATCTCTTATTCCAATGTTAACCTTCTCTCATGTTGCTGACACAATCGTTTTTGACTCCTTTTGTCTCTGCCATCCTCAGCACGGCATCGTCCCCATCATCGAGCCTGAGATCCTCCCCGACGGTGACCATGACCTGAAGCGCTGCCAGTACGTCACT